AACAAAACATAGGAAAGGCACCATTGGATGCTTGAGTCTCAGGAATACCCACAAAGCAATGCACACAGTAATGTCTCATGTTAAACCAAGCAGATATGGGTGCATGTCTGAACTGGGTTCTGACACTTGACAATTTGTATAACCCACCTTAGTTCACTAGAAATGAAATTATTTCAAAAGTCAAAGTTATTTCTCTTAGAATATCTTTTTTTTGTGTTGTGTGATTAAACTTGCTGAAGTTTGTTTTGGTTCTCATATTATGGCTCTGTGTACTGTTGAAAGTGGTTCACATACTCCATGTTATCCATACCACAGTTTGGAAACCTCTGCTTTATGTTACTGTGTAAGGTAGCATATATACCAAGAAGTTGAATATTTTCTAGTTCTTAGCAAGTATTGTGTAGCATGTGTTTGGCCTGCCAGTTTTAAGTTCAGTGCTGTTTCATTTGTTTAACTTCACCATCAGATGTTGTGAGGGCATTCACAGGGATCATTGAACTAAAAGAGCAGTATCAATATGCTTTTTGCTATCTACAATTTATACCTACCGTATTTACTTGAAGATTTTTTTTTTTCCTCCATGCAATAAATGCTATGAAAGGGAGGATAATATTTATTTAGTAGTTCTAGGAATGTTCCCATCCAGTGAGTGATAGTAGACTTACATGCTTTACATCTTCATCATTCTCAGAGAGGGGTTTACCTTGTTCTGCTGAACTTAGATTATTTTTGCCCGTCTCTGGAGAATAGCTGTGCAAGAAAAAAATCCTACATTTTTGCATTTTGCCAGCATCTGTCTCTGAACGAATCCTTTAATAGAATGTGATCTGTGTCCTATGCTTTGCCAAGATTCCACTTGTCAAAGATAATTCTAAACCTTATGATATTTACCTTTTCATTTTTTTGGTCAGTACCTTCTTGCAGAAAGAAAACTTAATTTTTTTCAGTGAGACAGCCCTCCTGACTTCAGCAAAAGTGTTTTTTTTCTCTTTTACAGAATTGGGTTATCAGCTCTTTGCAAGTATTCCAGCAGTGGCTTACCACACTAAAGGCTGACCTGATGTTTAGCCTTTAGAGCACATCTGCACAAAACAGAATATCAATATGAAATTTTTGCGCTGTTCTGCAGCTGCAAAGCATTCACAAATCTTACCGGCACTGTGAAGATGTATCAAAACACAAATCTGTAATTAACTTGAGAGGAGAGCATTTAATAGAATTTGGAGGAAGGTAGGTTTTTTTCATGAGAGAAACTTGGACCCCCAGAATTCCTACTCTACTTCTCCATACTCCTAATTTTCTGATAGTTTGGACTTAGTCCAGTTATTCTTAAAACATGTTTGGGTATGCATCAGCAGCATAAGCCTCTTTGTAACATGTTGGTTTCTTCCACAAACAGGACAAACCTGTGAAGGGTAAGGATAGGTACCAAGTTGCTAGAAACTTAATTTTGAGGGCAGGTTTGGACACAATTGTGGGCAAAATCTATGACCTGATTTACTAGATTTCCTGCTCAGGTCTCAACAAATCTGTTGTCACTGCCTGGGTGAGAGGTTGCTTTCTACTTTCTTGTTTGTGTTCAGGAAGTTGCTCACTCTTGTCCTGGCCTTGTTACAGTGCCAGTAGTGTTTGAGGGGTAAGTGGATGGGTTGAATTAATCTTTTGTAGTGTCACTGCTACGTAATGCTCTTCTGAACTGATGCAGGAGATTGTATGGCTAGGTTACTGTGGCTAAACCAGTGCTTGGTAGATAGACTATTAGCTGAACCTCCATGTATGTCCAAGGATGAGTAGAAAGGGTGAAGATGTGCATTGATCTTACATGAAAAGATCTAGAATGTCAAGACCACAGTCATTATGGCAGGTGTTCTTGATACTTAACACATTAGGTGTATATATAGCTGTATAATTTTAAGAGAAGTAATTTTGAGACTTAAATTTTGCCTCCTGGCAGTCACAAGAGAATAACCCTTTTCCCATAGACTTTGGTTACACCCAGAAATGCTGCATTTCTTTCATTCAGAATACATGATAAAGAGTGGGATCGTAATGGCAGTACAAATTAGACAATGATGCAAGAGAGATGCACTATGTACTATAAGCAGGACTGAAAATAAATATGATGGAAGACCTAACGGTGTTGATGTTGTCTTCCTGAAGCTTATGGAACTGCTTATGGTGGACCTATCCAATAATAAAACATTAGTTTAACCTTCTGTGAATATAAATAAACCATTTTTTTCATGTTACTAGCATTTCAAGATGTCTGATATGTTTGTGTAAATGTTCATGGCTCCAAGTTACTTCTAATTAGAATGCTCTGAAAAAATGGATAATGCATCACTTAGCTTCAAACATTCTGCAAATGCAAGCATGTTTGCAAGCATTCTAGCTTCTTATTTCCTTGCAGATAAGCAAAATAATTAAGTGCTTATCAAATTTACAGTGTTTATTTATATTTTCTTCTACTTAGTACCTCCTTTCTCGCTTACATTCTTGCCTGCCCCTATTAATTTTTTTTTAAATCTTTCCCCACATTTCTCAGTGTATTTAATCATCCTTGATTATAAGAGTTGGTATTAATCTTATACTAGTGAATGCAGTAACTGGCTGGTAGTATTTTGTCACACATTGCATTTCTGACTTCAAGGAAAACTTCTGTTATTATAAAGCATAGGAATAGCAGTAATACATGAGTGTTTCTTTAATCAGGTCAGAAATAATCACAATGGGGAATCTACTTCAGCCCAGTAAAAGCTGCAGGTTTTTGCAGCATGTCTGACTTTTTGCATGTCTAATGGGATTTTCAGTTGTACTTACAGGGCAACAACATTATTTCTAAAAGGTAGACGGTGTTACCGCTTTCTTAAATGGACAGAATGGAGCAGCCCTATTGAAATGCATGCGGCTGATTGTGGAGCAAGAATTTGGTATTTTTGTAATGTGCTGAAAATCAAGTGTTTGGGGATTTTTTTATAATATACTTGCATACAGTATACTAGATACAAGTCTGTGGTGAAGATTCCTGTATTTCTGCCACAATTTTCTCATCTGCGTCACCTGGAAGGTAATACATTTCACTGACTAGAAAGGGCTCAGATTTCCAAGGATGTTAAAGGGATGAATTTTATCCAGATAATTTGACTACTCAATTTTATATGTAAGTATGGTGTCACTAGATTTCCATTACCTTTTCCCATTCCAGCTATACATGAGAAAAAAGCTGTTCATCCTGATGTGGCTATATTACTCTTCAAAACACATGGCTTGGCCTGTCTGAGAGCTTTCAGAACTCCCTCTTCCATGGGAGAGACAGAAATGGCACTTAAGGTACCTTCTTTGGCATTGAGGAATGCTGTGGGACAGAGGTCCTACTGCTGTAGAACAATACAACTTTTTGTGTATAGAGTGATACCCAAGGAGAACAGAGCTGAGGAGTTTCTGCCTAAGATCACAAATGTCTGAGAAGTTTCCATACATGGTGAGCCTCATTAGATTATCAGCATCATTCTAGGACCAGCAACCTTTATGTTCTTGGGAGATTCCTTTCTAATTGAATGAAATAGAAGAGGAAAAATTGCCATGCTGTGCAGCCATGGGTGTCTTGCGTGCATTGGGATCTGAGTACTGAAACTTTGGTAGCATGGGTTGTTGATCTCACCATGGACCTCTGCAAGTCTTCATGTTTGTAGAGACAGCTTTTTGGTGTAGGGCTACTTTAGTGTTTAAAAGGAAAAATAAGCTGCTGAGCAGTAAAGCATAAATACTTGAAAATATTCTCAGAATCCACAAAACGTTGAAGAATCTTTAAGCAGCATTGAGCAATAGCTATGGCTTCTCTTTCCACTGCTGTTCTAAGATGGAGGCTTGAATGTTGCTTGGAATGGCTTGGAATGGTATGATGGATTTTGCCATGGGAGAAGGAAATGGATTCCATCAGAGGGTCCAGGCTCTGCAGACCAGTTGTTCAGAAGACATCAGAGGATCGCTTTATGAAATGGTTGAGTGGGTTTTGCATTTGCCTTTTTTGGAAATGTTTAAAGAAAATGCCACTTGTGCTTGCATTTCTACTAGTACAAGCAAGCAAAGGCAAATAATAACAATACATTGCAGTGTCAAAACTCTACCCTAAAGTTTTTGTTAAAAATAATTGACAACAGTGCAACAAATGATAGATGAGTTTTCCTCCTTTCCCTTGATACTCCCCACAAAGAAGTTGTGAATTTTTTGGATTCTGAGATGAACAAATATGGACCTAAGTGAGATCTCAAGGTTCTTCATATTATCATTTCAAGTTTTTGATTTACAGAATCAGTTGCTTTCACACCCCAAAACAACAGTGCGTGATTTAGGCACGTATAATCACATTCTCGTAAGTACTTTTATTACAGTCTACATTGTTTGAATATGTTTTGCTTTATATTTTCTTCCAGCTTTCTTGCCAATAGCATATTGATCTTAATCAGAATAAATTCCGTTCTGGTAGGAAGAAATGAAATAGAATAATCAGGCAGCTTTTCGCTTTGATCTTTTTTCTAATACTTAGAATAGGAGCCCTTTGCTACAAAAAAGTTGCAATACATTTAGCTAATTTTTGGATGCTACCTTCTGTAATAAAATAAACTTTTTGAATGTATAGCATTTTGTGAGCCCTTTGAATACAGAAATAGAATGGCTGAACAAAAGTGCTGTTTTATTTATAGTTCTTCTGTTGAACAAGCACATTGACAATTCAGATAGGAAAAAATCTGTTAGAGATTAGAAAAGCTTAGGCTAGTCAAAGTCTTTTTTTCATGCCCAGCTCTTCAAGTTTTAAACAACATAATAAATTTCAGTGAAAGGCAAAGCATTCTTTTAGGATGAGACACTCTTTAAGAGAAGAGTCTTCTAATTTTCTCCGTAGAGAAGTGTTAGTACTTAATAAATGTGTTTATAGTCATTCTACCTTATATTTAATCCTTTTTCTAACTCATGAGTTTTTCTATATATTTGTTTTTCAGGCAGCAGCATCTGTCCAAAGTCCTTGATATTGTCTAGATCTTGTACAGCGAGTGCCACAACTAGGCTAGTTGAGCAGAATGTACACAATGAAGCAGCTCAGGGAATAAATGGAAGTGTGCCAGTTAAACAGTCCCCACGTTCAGCTTCAAATCCAAAGCCACAAGGTAAGTAATCTCAAATATTTCTTTATAGGAAATTGTTCTTCTCTTAGACTTTAAGAGAAATAGCGCATGTTGAAAGAACTGTATTTGTCAGAGAGAAAATAGTGGGGTAAAAGCTTGTAAATGAAATACAGGTGTTCTGTAAATGCTTCGTGAGTCTGTAATTTCTGATAATATTTTGCTGAAAAAGGTTATCAGAAGGAAGGTTGATCTTACTAATATGTTGCATGCACATAGGTCTAGCTACACTTTTTATCTCAAATGTCTAGTGATTTGCTACGCACTTACTGCCAGGCAGCAAGTGTTAAATTCATTCTCGGCCCAAGAGGTGGCTGGTAGATAGAGATGGGAGAACATGTGTAAACCCTTTTTGTATTAAGCTATTGCCAGGGCTTATTTTTCAAAATAATTACTGTATTTGAGCTGAAAAGTTTTGATACTATTTTTGAAGTGTTTGGCAGGCTGGCTTCAAGGCAGGGGTGGTGGGGAAGATATTCAGGGCCTTTGGGGTTCTAGTGGAGCGGTTCTAGTGGAACTTCAGAGGAGTCCTCCTGCTGGAGTATGTGGAAAGTTGGGAACTTCATGTTTGTGCAGTAAAACCTGACTAATAAAGTCTGTAGAGTAGAAGTAGATTTCCCTTCTTTGTGTCTGTAAGTAGTATCTTCACTTTTAGAAGCTAAATAGGTCAAACTACTTGTTGACTTTAGACATATAAACCTCAAACCATCTTTTTATGTGGTCTTCTCAGTAATATTGATGATTCTGCTGAAGTTGATCGCAACAAAGAGTATGTTCTGGAAGTCTTGGATTCAAAGTGAATCTGGACTGATGCCTTTTAGGAGTGACATGCAGTAGGGATTTAATTCTCCTCAAAAGTGAAGAAAGAGTGAGTTTAGAAGACTGATGCCATGATCCTGTTCATTGAATTGGATTCTGAGACATAGTGCTGATACAACAGAAACTAGAATACTTATAGAAAACTAGATCACATCTAAATCATGTATAGGAACTATAACATGGAGTCATCATGCAGTGGATTTAACAATTTGTGTGTCAGTTAATGGGAAAATGTATCTTAAAGAGTTTTACATCAGTCCAGAGTTCACCTTGGAGTTAGGGGGGGTGGAAATTTATTGGGGTGTCAAGAAAGTTGTGTTTACTCCAGGAGAATGAGAGCAAAATAAAGCTGTATTTTTTGTATTACTTGTTTTTATAGAACTTTTGCCAGTATTGTTCACTAAACTAGGTTGTTTTTATGAATCATATGTACACATGACTTGTCTGAGTAGCCTTTCTGCTAGGTTCTAGGTTTCTGAAGCTAAGTTAACAAGAGAGCACATGTTCTTCCAAAGAAAATATTTTAGAAATCTGTTAATGGATAAACAGAAATGGGCAATTAATAAAAAGATTTTAAGCCTTTCAAAAAGCTAGCCCATTTATTATAAATTTTAGCTATTAGATAAATTAGGAGTTGGATATTATTGGACACCTTTCATTCAAGTAATACACAGCTGTTGTTGCTCTTTCCTAGCCATGACTTCTGTGTTTGTCAATATTACTTGCTCCGACATGTGACATAGCTGGGAATAGTGGTGTAGTCTAAGAAATGCAGCTGTGTGGATTATATTCAGTAATACTGTTGTTGTAAATAGTGGTTTTTGCCTTGCTTTGTTCATGGGCTTATGTCTTTCTCCATTTATTTTTATTAAATACGTGCATCATATTGTTCTGTAGTATATCTTTTTGGCCTTTTTATCTAGTTGAAACAAAACAAAATAGAATGAATGAGGTAAGCATTTGGAAATCCAAACTATCTAAGCAAGCTAAATTGCTCTAGTTTATTGGTTTAAATGTGGTTTCTGATTTATTTTTTCTTAACAGCTTTTCATGTACTGATTCAGAAACATTTTAGGTTTATAGTAGCAGGAAATGTTTATTCCAAATGGTTGGTCTAGTCATGGTCATAGTGAAAGGAAACAAGATGACAGACCTGAATTTGTAATGCCAGTGTATTTGCTTGTTGATGAACTAACTGCGAAATGATCTTCATCTAACCTACCAAAATGTATGTATTTAAAGAGGGACATACAAAGATGACTTTAAGGTTGTGCTACAAGTGGTTACAGCTATTTTTAGTAAACTTAGCTTTAATAGAGGAAATAGAACTTTATATTATAGAGGAAAAAATGTCCAGAATCTTGTACTTGAAGTGAAACCTGGCCTCTGAACCTGTTTTGTCTGTACTTGATCTCTGAGAAGTAGTTTAAATATTTGGAAACAGATCACTCAGGGTAGCTAGATCAAGTGAATAAATTTCTGCACAACATCCAACATAAAATTCTTTCTTTTCACTTTCATTTTTTTCTCCTAGCATTTCAAGGAGAAAACAAACCAGCTGTCTGATACAGTGACAGTTAAAGAGCAAACTTTTTTCCCCAATTAATTTCTTCAATCAACAATTTAGCAATTCACATGTCAGATTTCTGTGTTGAGTACAGTTTGAATCATGAAAATCTTTCCAAATTTGGAACAAAGTCTGAAACTGACTGAAGGCCAATGAAGGAGTTAAGCAAAGAAATCGGGACTGGGAAGAAAAGCAGCAGACTGTACCAGCTGTGAAACATGGTGCTTTGTGTCAGTGTAGTGTGATAAAGTGGACTAATCCAGATTGGAGGTAGTGAGTGGAAATAGCAAAATATGCTACTGAGTTCCAGGGCAAATATGCACAAGAGATGAAGCAAATTGTTAGTCAGTTTGAAATTTGCCTTTACCTACAGATATTTTGGCAGCAATCTGAACCTAGCAGTAGCAGAATGCATGTAGAGTGACATGTACAAACTGACCAGTTTGTTCTAGTTTCTTTTATTCCTGACTTTTGGAACCTCTTGCATGATGCACAATTACTAAATACTGGGTACTGAAACTGTTGTCTGTACCAGGCAGTTTTATTGTAGGATGGAAAATATGTTGAAATGTCAACACTTACTCAAAGCAGTGAGGTATCTTGTCATTTCAAGGCTGTGCATCAGTTGCTCATTTAAATTTTTCTAATGAGTGCTTAGGAGTACTTATGAATCTCCTGCTGAGGCTGAAGAGGCATTTTTGTTTGGGTTGGAGATGATTTTCCACTCCAGAAGACAGCCTGGTTTGTGCTACTGTGAAATGTTATGGACACAAAGCATTTAACGCGTAGATTTCAGCAGTCATTTTTAGCTGTCTACTGTACTGTATAGTATCAATCCTGTCCTCCTTTCTCAGTTAATTGTAATATAGTCTGTGGTTTTTGAAGATACTCAGTGGCCTGGGCCCAGAAAAGATGAAAGGTCTGGGATATAGTCTCTATTTCTGGCAAATGAAATTTCTACAGTTAAAGGTGAATTGAACTAAAACTGAGTGCTGTTTCTAGCTAGACTTCTCCAAGCTCAGCGGTGCTGTAAGAAACCAGTAGCAATTTCTCTTTTATCAACAAAGCAACTAAATCCTAAACATTATCTCCAGGAAGAAAACAAATGAAAGAACACAGCATATCTGATAATTATTGGTCATCTTTTATAATATATTGTTGGAAGATACTTATTCTGAAGTGATAGAAAAATGTGGAAATGTACATCCTAAAGAGGAGATGACTTTTTCTCTCTTTCTGCTAAGTCTAGGTTACTGGTTATTTTGTACTGTTGTTGTGAGTGTAAGTCTTTGATATCTATCCAGCTGTGCTCATTTGATTTTCCTGAAGGTGATGTTGCATCCAAGGTGGTGATGAAGGATGATTCAGCCAGGAGAGCTGTAGCTGCTTGCCACGGGAACTTGTATGTGCTTTCACTGAATCCAAGCATAGCAGCATTTTTAACCAGCAGGAGTTAAATGCATAGAGGGAGATTGAACATGTTATACTTTCTGAGATAAATGATCTTTGCTAATAGGCTTTGGAGTCAGCAAAGGTGGCTGTAGTTTTTGAGTCTTTTGTAGCATTACCTCCCATTTCCTTATGTATATGTACAAAGTTGAATGCCCAACTAGGCGCTGCAGCTTAAATCTTGATTAGGTATTTTGGTGAGCATTACACAGTAGCAGCTACCTGAGTATACTGAGGGATTTTCTTTGGGCAGAATATGCAGTTCATATCTCCTAATGAGCTCAAAATTCTACAGTATAGAGACAAGAGTATTTATAGACTCAAACAGAGCTCTGTATTATGCAGGGTATTACAATGGGCCACTATTTGCTCTTTTATTTTTCTTCTAAGATCCTTGCTGTGTGCACATTGAAAAATAATCTGATTAAAACAAAACACTACAGAAGTACATTGAGGGGAGAATTAATGGAATTTGTTTTCCATAATCCATGTTAACAAGGTTGACCTTACAAGAAGGTTTGCAGGTTGTTTTTTTTTTTTTTTTTTTTTTTTTTTTTACACTACTGATTCTTTTATTTTCATTGATCTTGTGACTGTCATTTTCCCATTGCTCTATTTCTAAAACTTACAGTAGCTACAGCAGCAGCTGATTAGGGGAAATGCTGCCTGTTAGATGTAATAGGGAGTAAAGAAAATATCTTGCATTAAGGAACTGGTGTGGCTGTTTGGTATATGATTCTCCTCTGAAGACATTACAGGGACTTTGAATATACTGTGATTGTCCGGTTTGACTAGAGGTTCCTTGTGCTTAGCCTACGGAAATGCTGCTAAGCTGGGGGCTTTACAGTAATAGCTTCAAAAGTGTGCAACACTTCCACAGAATGTCCTAGAATTTGATTTTTGTCCCAGTGGTGCAGTATAAAAATAGCTTCCAACTAATTCCTTCTGCTTTATCAGTAGACATTAATTCCCTCAGGTTTAGTAGTTTTAATATATCCTTTTGAGGATATTAACATTTTATGAGAGGTACATCTCTTCAATTCTTTTGTACAAGTCCATTAAATAAGAGAATTCACAGGACCACAGGTTATGCAAAATCCATTTCAAGAGCTAGAGGTGGTTCTACAAACTAGCATAGTGCTGGTCAGTAAATCCACCCAGTGTCCCCTTTTCCTTTCCATCTCCTCCCCAAGGGAATGGCAGTGCCCGTGCTCAATTACATGCCCTGCTTTTCCCAGCCCGCTTGTGTCACCTTTTTCAGCTGTCCCATCATCTTTGTCAGTGCAGCAAGCTGTTTGGAGCTTGGACAATAATCTGATGCTTGTTGGCCTAATTCTGCCAGACCTTGTCCAAACTCCCTGAGAAGAGAGAATATAGGGAAAGCTGCTCCAGTGCACTGCAGCTGTGGCTGAGCAAATGTATGTGGCTTCTCAGGAGGGGCTTCAGTTACTACAGATGCTCAAGCAGTTATACAATTTAATCTCCTGCTTGTTTTAGTATTGCATTGTAACTTTTTGAAAATTACAGTATTTTATCATCCTTTCTGCACTTCATCCTTCCTCAAACTTGCCTTTTTGCTTGTGTTAATAAATATAAAATAAAAAGCTTGAAAGGACCAAAGATACACATAGACACAGTAAAAGCATCTATCTACAGTAATTCTCTTCCTTCTTCCTCTGTTTCATTTATCAGCATTTGTAGTTGATACGGTTGAAGTCTACAGCTTTTTGTGACATATTAATTTCTTCACAGAGTCCCTCATGGTGCTTTTCAGACTACAATCCCACTTAAGTGCAATTAGGTTATTGGAAGCACAGATAAATATTGTCTCCTATAAATTCAATGTAATGTAGAGATGGAAAGTTGCTCTTAATCAAGTGTTCCTTCAAATTTATCATAATATATGATAGCATATTTGCAAGAATTTTTTCAACAACACTTTCAAATGTCAGTTGATGGGATTTAAGCTCATTCCTGTGGTACATAGGTTTTCAAGGGTAAGTCAATAAGCTATTCTAGCGTCAGTGATGTGAGGAACATGGCTTTTTCACATCCATCTACTGTGTATCCTGTACTAGTGCTTATTTTTTCTACTATGAGTTGCACAAGATTCCTAATGCCAGTTCCTGTCCTCCTTCCCTTCATGTTTGCTCCCTAGGAGGTCTGTGTAGAGCTGGTGACTGTGGCACACAGTAGCATGGTTCTTGTGGGGCAGTGGCAGAGCCCCTGGGGCTGCCAGTTCCACTGACAGGGCATTGCCCACTCCTGCTGATTTATGTCTGCCTTTTATTAAAGGGCAGATACAGTTCTTTTTTTTGTGTGTTTGTTGTTGTTTATTTGTTTGTTTGTTGGTTTGTTGTTTTGTTTTTTTTTTTTTTATTTTGTATCAACTGCTTTCACTTCTCATAATACATTTGGGGGGGGGTTGTGTGGGAATGAATAGAGTTGTATTCTTGAAGAATTAAGGACCTTTTCATTAAGTCTCTATTTTTGATGGAGCTGGAGATGCGTTGCTCTCATAGTGGAACACGTTCAGGCCCTGTCTGTGAAGTGCTTTTGCAGTCTAATGAGACAGATTTATGGTAAGGATGGGGAAGAAGCAAAAAAAATTAAAAATATTTTCAAGGGGATAGGTTTTCAGCAGTATAAATAGACAAAGGTTCAGTGAGTAAAGAAAGCTGAAAGCTGAAGGCAAAAACCTTTTCTACTGACTATTATTATTGGGGTCATGAGGGAGAAGGTAACGAAGGAGAGCACCAGAGTTTTGGGGCAGCAGTTTAAAATCACTCTCTTGAGCTCCACAGCACAGCTAGATCCTTTGACTTTGCTTAATTCTTTTTTTACGATAACATCTGCATTTATGGAGGCCACATGTGTTTACCACAGCACACTATAAAAAGCAAGCAAACAAGAAAACCCCCTAATTTCCTAGCTTGTTAAAGTAGCATGTGGTTCAGCTTTTATCCAAGAAATATAACAAGATGCATGGTACCAGAAAGAGCATAAAAACTATAAAGTTTCTGTATTTATAAAGCAACTTTAAGGTTAAGTAAAGCCAAGAGCATTTCTTCTTAATTACTGTATACTTATGCAAAAATCTCATATATGTTCTGGCAGTTCAAAGAAACAGTTCATGAGTGACTGATGGTTGTTGTTGTTTGCAGTGCCTCCAAAGCCAATTCATCTGCAGAACGTGTCAACTGTTACATACCAAACCCCTAGGCATAAAGCTTTATCAAATCAGAAACCAAGAATGGAGGAAGAGACACGCACCCCTGTTTCTAGTGTTGCAAAGGAAAAGTCCACTAAAGTGTCAGATCTCATCAATCGTTTTGAGGGAGGCAGGTATGTAATAGAATTTGATTTGTAACTGTTTTGTGTGGATTGTTGGAACTTGAACCTGTAGGGAAGAACTTTGGTACCGTGGTAGTGTTCAAACCTCTCCCTGATAGAGGAGTTGATGGCAAAACCACACATTTTGAAATGGTGTAAGCCAATTGTATGTTTGGCTTGTAGAAGGTGTGCTTTTTCATATGGTGCTAGTCTTAATTTTTCTTAAAAAAACAACAAACAAACAAACTTGTAGCATTTTCAAATCATCCTGAAAAATGTCAGCAATTTGAAATAAGTGCTGATTTTAGAATGAATCATTGGAGTTAATCTTAATTTCTTCTTGCAGAAACCAAATATTTACTTTTATAAGTATATAGAAAAACCTGAAATCCTGATTTTCCTTCTATACTGTCTTAACCTCTTCAGATCATTCATATGAAGAGGATGAACTGTACAAATTACTTGTAATGATATGGTATACATGCTCTAAACTGTTTGCTTTGTAGTACTTGGTGATTTTGGTGGAATAACTTGGTGTTCTTGAGTTTTGATATGGCCTTTTACAGAAAACATTTAGAACTTCTGAGAAGCATGAGCCACAGTGAACTCTGCTTTCACAAAATAGTGTTACTTTGTGTGTCTTTAATTAGATGTATATGACAAGCATTATAAACTCTGAAACAGAAGTTCTGAATATATCTGCTCTGTATAAAGAGAGCAACCTTCCAGAAAGCCCATGACAGAACAACAGCTCAAGAAACAGTCCAGTGACAGTTGAGCATTGCAAGTTTTGGATGTGGCTTTCTTGTGTTTCCTTGGGATACTGATGTTCTGAAGGGATGCCCCCTACGGGAACGAATACATGATGTACAACAGAGCGTGTCCTCCTGAGGCGCCAGAGTATTAAGACTTTAATTGAAAGAATTTCCCCTCAAGATGGGGAAAATTTAATCCTTTCTACAGAAGCAGATGAGCATTGCAGAAGTATGTTTGACTAGTGGAATAGAAATAATTTCAGAGCTTCATCTGGAAGAAACTTCTGTCATTAGGCAGGGACTTAATTGCACTATGCCATTACAGCTGCTCAAAGGTGAGAAAAAGAAATTACTCCAGCACTGGAGGTCCTGTGAATTTTTCCAGCACAGGTCTCTAGTCCTGTTATCAGTGTTTTCCCTGTCTTCTTCCAATGCATCACCCAAGTCTTTTTAACAGGAGAGTATCCTTAGAAACATAATTTTACCGTTTCTGAAGGGAAACTCCTCATGTTCATCGTGCCCTATACCAGTGAGCCCTACATTTCTTCCTCCTAGACGTGCCTGCTGCATTGTACAGGAACTTCTTCAATATTATGCAATTAAAGGAAGCTCTAAAGAAAGCAAGGAAAACTTTCTTATTTGTAGACTTTTAAAAGTAAGGACGTTTTATTTGAGGGACTAGAGGAAGCCGAGTTGCTTTTTGGCCAACAGCATTCATTAAGTACAACCAATAATATCTCTCCAATGGTTAAATTCCCCTCAACTCTATGATCCCTGCTTATGAGAAACTTTCATAATTAGCATGTGAAGTTCTGGAATATCATATGTGGTGGTTTGACCTTCGCTAAATGACAGGTACCCACCAAATCGCTCTATCAGTTCGCCCCCCTTCCCCCCTTTTTTTTTTTTCAACAGGGCAAAGAGGGGAAAGAAAAGAAGATAGGAAAAAGCCAACCATTGTGGGTAAAACAAAAGCAGTTTTAATATAAGCAAAGTGAAGCAAAGGTCCATGCATGGAAGCAAAAAAGAGAAAATAGATTTATTCTCTACTTCCCATGAGCAGGCGATGTGGGGCCTTCTCAGGAAGCAGGGCTCCGATACGTGTAGTGGTTGCCTCAGGGGACCAAGTGTGAACCCCCCCTTCCTCCCTTCTCCCAGCTTTATACTGAGCAGACGTCATATGGTCTGGAATATCCCTTTGGTCAGTTCGGGTCACCTGTCCTGCTTGTGTCCCCTCACAAGATCTTGCCCACCCTGTCCCACCTTGGGGGGAAATGTCAGAAGGAGCCTTGGTGCTGTGTAAGCCCTGCTCAGCTGTAGCCACAACACCAGGGTGCTACCAACACCCTGCCAGCTCCCAGCATAAACCACAGCACCGTGAGGGCTGCAATAGGGGAAAACCAATTCTGGCTTAGCCAGACCCAGTACACCCGCTATGGCCTTTGAAGTAATTCCTGTTTTTTAAATGAGCTCAGCTCACAAAATGTGTCTTCCATGAAGGTGAGCTTCACTTCTAATTATTGGCCTTCCAGTGACTAGGTAGGATGTTCATGAACTGCAAACTGTGATTGTCAGTTATGGTCTATTTTCATTAGTCTGTGCAGCCCACAGACATGTCGGCATGGCAAAAAATTACTTAAATCTTTTTGCTGTGTCTATGCAATTGAAAAATATAGATTAATTCTATCTTGGAGTTGTTTATTTAAACAAAAAGGCAAAATCTCTACAGAACTAAATAAAACCTGATTTAAACTTCTTTCTTATATGATGAAAAATGACAAAGCTAGTGTAAGATATTTTTTGAGCCCTATGCATGAAAGAGCAAAATATGCTCATAATATTTGTGTAAGCTGTCTTGTAAGGAGTAAACATGCAGTTTGTAAGCAGTCTTTATCTTTCTAGAAGATTTATGCTCCATACTAGGAACAGTATGTTGGAGGACAGTCATGGTATCTTTTTGCAAGTTGAGTATGGCTTGTTAAATGTACTTCAGACAAAAACGTATGGGTGGGGGGTTTTTAAACTATAATGAAACCAAGCATTTTTACGGATTAGGCTACCATTTATATTGGTCTAAAATATCAAAATCTTAAAAAAGAAAAAGAGATAGTGAAAGGTACGAACAAGGGATAACATGTTTTTAAAGCAGAGATAAAATATGGAGGGAAAAAACCCTTCAGAAAAGATGCAGCGTGATGAAAGGACACTGCTAAATAAGGAAATGGGGGAAGAAATGGAATAAGTATTTAAAGCTCCTCCTGTAATAAATATGCTGAACTAAGGAAAGAAATGTTAAATGTTCTTGGACACTTTTCATGAATTTTGTATAATTAAAGGGCAATTAGGGAACAGGCTGCTTGTTAGTGTTTAAGCATTGGACTGGGACTTGGGAGATCATGAATCTTTTTCCATTTCTACCAATAATCTCCTGGGACATTTTGAGCAAGTTGCTTCATGTATCAGTGCCTCCATTCCCTTGGCTGTTACATGAGCTGATCATACTGCCTTTCATTTTATAAATGATATTCAAGACACATGAGGATGTAGTGCATCAATATGGATGTCACTCTGGGTTTGCAGTAAGATGCGCATGGTTGTGTGCATTTCAGTGGAACAATATTAACACAGGACAACATGGTTTGGGAGGAATGTGTGGTGAAACTCTCCTACTCCCCATATCAGGGATTTTCTATAATGCCATGTTTAACTTTTCTTTCGTCTATGCTTTGTTTGGTGTTTGTAGCCCGTTAAATCCTAGTGATTTGAAGAAAGATTCCTCTGTTCTCCACATTTCTAAATCTCAAGGAAGATATGGGTCAACAGCATCACCTCAGCCAAAACTCCCCTCCCAGCACCCACTACAAAAACAGGGAAACAGTAATACCGACAAAACTCAGGTTGCACAGCTACACACAGCCAACGGAGTAGTAGCACAAGACCAGACGGAAGATGAGGACGGGAGATTACCAGATCATGGCTCTACTATGACCACCCAGGTTCCGGATAATGCCATCAACAGCAGCTTGATAAATGGGGAAAGAGAAAGTACTTCTGGAGAGTCATTGCAAAGTATGACTGCCTTTGAAGGACAGATGCTTAACAGCTGCTACAGGACCCCAAGCAGTGATACTCTGCTCCCATCTGAAAATGAAACTCTAGAAATTAATACTAATGTGAAGGAAGAAACAGCTGAGGAAATCGGCAAGCAAGATCAGCCTGTAGAAATGAAGGTAAAAAGATAAATTGTTTCATTCTTGATATAGTACTACTTTGTGCATTTTCTCTAGGTTTTTCTTTACAAAAATAAACTTGCAAGAGCAGGTCAGAAATATTTTGATTATATTATAAAAAAAAAGACAGGAAGAAAAGTGTTGCTTGCCTTTCCCCCTCTTTCACTTCTGCTCCCCTTTTTTCTTTTTGCTCCCCTTTCCTCCCCCTCCCTTTCTTTTTTTTTCCATTAGTTATCTGAGGTTTAAAAATATTGAAACTGAAATATGTGTACATGTTTAGCACTATGCTTCCACTGTGTCAGACTACAGGGGACACATATCAGTGGTGTATATAAAATAAAATTCCGTGTGTAGTAAATTGCAGCGACAAGGCTTCAGGCAGAACTGTCATGTGAATCCTTAACTTGGATGTAGTTGTTAAGTCAAAGCTGGAAAGGCAGTGGCAGTCTGCTAGCTATCAGATAGACGCAAGGTTCAGAGTATACTAAATACATGCCTTGTTAGCAAGGCGAAGCTGCATCGTGATAAATTTGAGCTTTCTCATTAAGGAAAAGTTTAAATGATTAAGGGGAAATAAGTGGGTGGAAGAAAATCTGTCCTGGGAAATTAATTGCTGAAAAATTGTGCATGTTCTTACTTCTAAAAGTTTGATTATGCAGTTTGCCTTTTCATACTGAAGCATTGGTGGCCAGTGAACATTAATAGCTCTGGTCCAGCCATGCCATGTGTGAATCATGGCAGGGAGGGCTGGGCTGGACCCTCCTGGCCTTCCTCTTCGCTGCAAAGCCAAACAGCCAAGCACGGATAAATCTTGTCACTGCTTGTGAGGAATACACCAGCATCGGTTAACTACAGACCTCTCCCAGCCCCTGACTTTGGTTGGGTAGGGGTCGCATAAATACATGCTTGAAGGTAAATTCTGTGTGTGGAAAAGGTGGGTCTCAAGTTCTCATGTATTATGGAAAAAAATATCCTAGGTAATGATAAGAAAGCGATGGGTTGTATGGATTTTTTTGTTTGTTTCATGGGTTGTTTTTGCCAGTAATGTATGAATGTTACAACGATCCTCATCTAAACATAAGCCTGCTCACAGTCCAAGGCACCTTAACGTGCCACACCTCTCCATTATGTTTCTTTCTCCTGTTAGGCAATGCCTCTTTCCCTTCTCTGTGCCAATAAAGCGCTGAGAGCTCTGTGGGCAATGCTGTTAAGCTTGAATCCAAGTTGCACAGTAAGGTGCTGACAGCATTTTCAGAAAAAAGGCAGAAATGGGAGGCAGTCCTGTTGTAAAGTCCAGGAAGGAACTGGGCAAATGCTAATGCAGCAATCTTATCAAAATCTGCCTTTGAGCTGCTGGGACCAACATATGTGATCTGTCCTATATTGACCAAGAGTCAAATTGTGAGGTGTAATGTGACTGTTACTAGATGTATTGTTTACTGGTGCTTGAAGGGTAAAAAACCAAACCAAACCCAAGCAGGATGATTCTTAAATCAACATTGGTGGAGAACTGATTGTGAAAAACTGAACTCTGGGTCACGGCAGCGCTTCCTGAAATACCAGCTTGCTTGAGATACAAGGACATCCCCTTAAGTGTGGTGAGATAAAGAAGCATGTCTACCACAGGCTGGTCGAAGGACCATGCCTCCCCAAATCCAACAGTGATATAATTTGGATTAATGCAACCTATAGATTGAAATCCGCCCTGTGGAAGTCTAAGTAGCTCCTGTCTTGCTGTCTGGAAGAGGGGGAGGGTGATGAGAGACAGGAGAGGTCTGGTAGAGCTTTAAGCTATTTCTGCAATACAAGCAGGCACTGGGAAGAAAGAGCATTTACACAGTCTGATTTTACTAAGTGCCCACTTAGTAAAGAATCTTAAAACTGGGATGCAGTCCAGTTGAAGTTGCACTGCACAGATTAACAGTGCTCTTATGCCCTTTTTAATTAAGCAAGTGTAAGTACTGTTGACTGAAAGCAATAGGAACAGATGCATGCAAGTCATAGACAAACTTTAAATTATTCATCTAATATATATAAATACTGATGCAAAGTATCTTGTCTCCTGCATGCCATTTTTGCTAATTCAGGGAAGAGAAAAAAGTGGTGCTGTCTCTTTGTAAATACATACATGTACAGCAGAAGTAAATCAAGTCCACTTCTAAAAAGGCCGAATTAAATTGGGGAATGGTGCAAAACCAGAACAGGAATTCCTTTTTAGACTTGGAAAAGAAAACTTATTTTGAAATAATGCTGCTCTTACAAATATTTTTTTTCCCCTTACCACTGTAGATCTGACTAAAGCGAGATAATCACAGGTACTGGAAAAGTTGAGGCAAAACATACTAAATTTGACAGCATTCTGAAACATTTTCCCCGAATGACCAGAGTAGAGTATGCTTTATTTCTCTTATTTACTTAATTATTTTGAAAGTCACAAACCACAAATATCACAAGCAAAAAGACAAAAGTGAAAAGTTTATTGCCTTGCAGCAGAAGCACCTTCTGTCATAAAATTTGGTTTGCCCAAAATGCGGAGGTTGAATAGTACAAGAACATCCCAATCAATTAAGTTCCTGAATAACATCTTGTGAGAAATCTGCTGCTAGAGCTAACTGAAGACAAGATGACAAATGCTTTGGTATTTGTTGTGAGACTGGTAGAAAATAGGGATATAGACTGCATGCATGTCACAGATGGAGAAGAATCCATTACACATCTTTAATAAGTTCATACTTGATGTCTACTCTTAATGGTAGGGTTGGGGGCTCTTGTATTTCAGGTGAAAAACCTGGTGGAAATCATGTATTTCTAAATGTAAGGTGAAGTTTTGATTTAAATAGGGTGAAACTTTGTTGCAAAGTTAACTTTGCCAAGAAATGTTTTACTGTTGCAACACTTGAGAGGTTCTATCAGCTTCTTCCTGTTTCTACAATTTTATGGTAGTCTTTAGCAGCAATAAATGATAAACAAAGCTGTATATCTTTAGCACTCAATATAAATGTGTAAATCCTTTTCAGAAGGATTGCTTCCTTAGGGATATAGAGATCTTTAATGCTTTTCTTGGTTGCTTGTGCAAGAAACTCACCCATCATTTGTGCAATGGACTGCTGCATAGACTAAATATGCCAGGAGGTGATGGTAGCACTCAGGATTTTCATCACAAGTCTTGCAAAATTTAGTGCTTTCCTTGATTTCAGAAACTGAGGAGTCAAGATTAAAAGAAATCTTAAATTCTCCTGGAGATTTACATTTATATCCCAAATACTTAGGGAAGAAATCTTTAGATCATGAAGCAGCTATGTCATGAATGGGTTTAGAAAAGAAAACACCACTCTGTTATGTTAGACCAAACTCAGCATTATAAACAAACAAGAACATAGATTGAATGATATTTGTTCATGCTCTACATCTCTCACCCTGTGTTGCTTAATATATTACTGCAAAGCCCACGGAGCAAGGGCTACACCTAAGTAGGAGTGAATCACATGCAACATCACTGTTGTGTTGGTATAGTTGGTATAGTTTTCTTCATATGAGATGCTTCCTGTTTGGTTTGGATTATAAATTATGGCTTTAATATAATTTCGGTTTATGTAAAGGCTACTTTACATTAGCATAATTTTTGCAAGCTTAGGACAATGGAAAAACAATGTTAGGAAATTTCAGCACACATGAAAAAAGTTCATACAGCAGCATTTTTCATACTTCCTAATTTCAGAGTTCAAGAAAAAATTAGGTAAAAATTACTTGTTTTGATTTCTTAAGCATCCATAGTAACATGATTCTAAGGATGTACAACTTTGTACTAAAGAATATATAACTAGGCCCAGGTGAAATACTTACTGTAAGCATCCATATAGAGATACAAGTTTGAAGTCCTGCCTGATGGACCTACTGCTATCTCACACTTCTTTGATTGGCAGTTGAAATCGTGTTCCTCTAACGTGAACATTTTATATATAGCACACTAACTGTTTCTGTTCAGTTTTATATGTTGAGTTGCCATGTGTTACGGATTGTCACAGAAGTTTGAAATGTTCCCTGAAATCATTGAGAAGTTGTACTTGAAGCAATAAAGTATGTGTCCAGGTATACCTTGTAGTAAACTTTTGTTTCGGTATTTTTTGTTAACTGCAAGGAATGCAATATAAATACTGATGTACTAAAAGCATAAAGAAATTATAGGAGGGAAATACAAAAATTTTCTGGCAAAAAAGATACGTGTCCATACCTTTAATTTCTGTTATCCTATTATCCTCCTTGTGAAGAGATGTGTGCATTTGTGGTTATATCCCATGAAAAGAAAGCTTAACTTATAACTTAAAAGATAATTAAAATTCCATTTTATGGTTAATGATTAGATTTGATACCATAGTTCTTTACAGATTTCATATGGTAATTCTTTAGGGAAGCATTGAAGTTCTAAGAATTTGAATACTAACTTTCTGTTTTCCCTGGTTTTTAAAGTTTTTTCCTTTAAGAATTCTCCTCAATTATTTTTACAAGGTTTTTCAAGGCTGTATTGTTGAACAGCTCCAGTAGTGAATGGCTCTGTGTGATTCTCACTGTCACAAACAGCATTCAGGATTTATTTCCAAATTGTATTGTATAAGTTGCTTTCTTCTACTTGGAATAGCCAAATTCGGGTCTGCAGAAGTTGAGCCCCTTCTTGGGGTTTGCCTGGTCTGAGCCCATAACTTGGTTGCTCCCTGTGTGCCTGCTTCAAGGAGGGGTGGGTGGGCAGCTGACAGGTAGAGGTGCAGTGCAGCACTGTGTGTGCCACAGCAGAGCTGTGATGGCCGTAAATTAATTCCCTGAAAGCAGAAAATAAAAAAAAATATGTGTGTGTGTGTGTGTGTGTGTGTGTGTGTGTGTGTGTGTGTACATCTATACACACACAAACATGTACGCCAGCTGCAGCATTGGCTTTGTGCAATGGTGTCTTTCCACCAAATGTTCCTTGCTGCGTAGCATGATGCTGCCAGGACCCGTGTGTCTGGTCCCGGTTCACCCCATGTGCTCATGACAAGTAGCTGCCACTTCCATCAAGGAAGATGGATGCCACTTCACAGGAGATGGATCCCACTACTAGCAAAACAGCCCATGACCTGTTGTTCCCAGCATGAAGGAAGCTGGAGCGACTTTGTGGAAACCAGGTGCTTTTCTTTAGACAGGGTAAGACATTGAAGTGGGTGAGTGAATAGGGAGGAGGATGGAGCTAGTAGTAGAAAGCACAGCTGGGAGTTCATGTAACACGTGGCTAAATACTGAGAGGGTAAGGTGGGAAATTGGGGACTTCCTTAAAAGAAAAGTAGCAGTACAGTTTTATGTTATTACTGCATTGATATAACCCCGTAGGTGGGTGTTCTTACACCAAAATAAGAACATGCCATTGTGAGTCAAAGATCCGTGGTGTGTATTTTTTCCCACATGGAAGATTCCTGTGTCGGGTACTGCGATTGATGTAGAAAGGCGGCTGAGGTTCAAGAATTAGGAAGATGTGTAAGGTTGATAACAAGAGGATGGGAAAGCTGGAGTCAGAGCATAGTGGGCGAGAAAGAGGGATTTGCCCTTATTTAGGAGTGAGGATTAAATGCTTTTTCTGAATTGCTCATTTGTGTGATATTTTTGAGTCTGCTAAGCGTGATTTACACTCTTTTAATTAGTTCAAATAATCTGAAAACTGTGGACTGGTTCTGTAGCAGTGCTTCATATAGAAGGTGAGGTTTTGGGGAGAGAATAAAAATAGTATAGCTACAGAACCAGTAGACTCCGTGGTTTTGTGCCTCAAGTCCACATGTGAGATCCCTTGTAAATGGCTGCACTAAACGGCATGCTGTAGCTGTAATAACTAATCCTCTAGCTCCCTGTGGTGTTTCTTGACAGCACTTAAAATGCTGTTCTGTAGGTTACCGTGGTTTCTATGCTGATTTAAACAGATTTAATGAACAGCTTTGAAGTCACTATGAAAGCCTGTATTTAGGGAGGAGGCTTGCCGTGTAGCAGTGTGGCTGTTAACACTGCAGATTAGAATTGAAATGTGCTCAAATTTGAAATACTTAATGAATACTGAAACAGGGAAAAAAGCCAGTGAAGTGCTTTAAACGAAAAGACTGTACTTAAGATGGTTTGCAGAATACTGAATATTTATAAATGTTCTTGCAAATGTTTATCATACTCTTGTGGAAAGCAGTGTGCAGTCTGAAATCAAAAATAACTCTTACAAGCTCTCCTCTTTATTTCTCTATGAAGACTTTCTATGGTTTGTCTAGAAAATCACCACTTTCCCATAAACACCATGATAAGACTGCCACTTACTTAAAGACTTGGGTGGCGTTAGTACTGAACACTTTTCAGTGCTAGCTAGTTCTGGAAGAAGAATCTTGTAATGGAAGTGTAATTTTGTTGGATCTGACACTTGTGAGCCTGAGGCATTTCCCTAATGTTTTAATATTATAGAAGGCTGTGCTTTCATTGTTTGTTTTGAAGTAACTTCTCATAGTAACTTAGAATATAAAATTACAATGTATTTAGTTTAATATTGAAATTTAAACAAATGTTTTAAGTTTCTGTTCCACAGAAGAATCAAAAATATGTGTTGTGGAATGAAAGACTTTGATAACTTCTCTAAGATGCAAAAGTGACTTCCATAAAGACCTAGCGGAGGAGCCATCTAATTGCAGTCAACAATTAATCAGCAATGAGTGTATTGATGAACATAAAACATTTTGTACAGTATTTTTCAATAATTCTGTTGTTTAAAGAACATGTAGTTCAAATAACCTTCAAATAGGGGCGGGGGCGAACACCAACTAATCCCATCTGTTCCCTCTTACTCTGCAAATCAGTTCTTCCAGCTCTGAAAGGTCGGTGGTACTTGATTACCAGGATGTGAGCTGATCTGCTAAGGAGGGAGTTGGTGCTCTGGCAAAGATCCCTGTACAAACTGGGAAATATTAAATGTTTTTGGCTTTCAGTTTTGTTCTGCAGTTTGATTTTTATCCTCTTTTGACTTTGTATCTTGATTAAACTGCTGGAAAGTTTGTATTTTTCAAAATGGGGTGTCTATTACTAAATGTGAAACTTGGATTTCAGTTGCTTTTTTGGACTGTAAGGTAATCGCATGTCTTCTCAACTTTTTTTTTAGTATTAAATTATGTTTTTTTCCGTATCCTAAGAGCTCTTCTTATTTTTCTGCAGGAGACAGATGAACAGAAACGTCACAAAATTGCCAGTGAACTTCTGCAAACAGAAAAAGCCTATGTTAGCCGACTTGACCTCCTAGATGGGGTACATTTTTTCTTGAATTTGTTTCTATTGTTTTGCCTTGGATTCATTTGAACGGCTATGCATAAGTGTATATATGTTACATAAGAGATGGTATGTTTTTCACATTTTGCAGAATTTTCCAGTCAGTCATTTGCTCTTGCCGTGTAACTTTGCCTGTGTTTCTATTTTAAGAGTACTACAATCTAAAAAGTATTAGAATTTTATGGATATTAATGCAATATGTTCTCTGTGTGTAGATGTCAACATAAGCAATAGTAGTTTATACTAGTAGCTCCTCCAACAAAGAGGATGGATAACAATTTCTTGGCTTCTGGTGAAACTGAAAGCACCTACCCACTAGAAAATTACAAAATCTTTCAGATTTGAGCACTTGATCAGGATTTTTCTTCAGTGCCCAAAAACCTAGGAAGATGCCCATTCTAAACTGTGTATCCCCTATTTTCCCACTATATGTTTAGACTAAATCCTACTGAAGTGAACAGAAATTACTCTTCCTGCAATGAAAGAGTTGAATTCTTGTGCTCTGTAGAATCAAATTGTTATTTCTTAAATGTGAAAGTGTGTAGTTCTTGAGTATTTTCCTTTAAAAGTCTTGTTTACTTTTTCATGTAAAACATCCATTTTACCTGGATATCTATAGCTTTTCATTGCCTTACTCCATGGTATTTTTCTCAGACATAAATTTCTCAGGCCTAATGCATAAGTCTTATAAAGATGAAAAGCAAAAAGCCTCAACTGATCTGATAATTGTTCAGGCTGCTTGAGGATCTAAGTAATTGTCCTCATGAAAGTGGATCTACATAGTAGACCTACATTGGAATCGATATATGGTATGTTTTAAAAGATAAAGTATTGCAGGAAAAAGAGCTTTGATTTAGAGAAGTTTAAAAATAAAGAAGGAAAATGTTCACATCATTCGTAGGTTTTTCTGATGGGTAATGTACAATTATTTTCCTTGATGCAACCATAGGTGCATTACTCCAACGCCTGTTTTCCAAATACTAACTGGACAGAGTTCTAAAAAATCAGTTTCAAGCACAACTGCTCAAGTGCTGCTAATGAGAGGAAAGCAGAAGACTGGGAAGGGACTGTTATGTTTCTAAACTTGGTTAAAAAGTTATGTAACCTTTATAGTCTTCAAAGTAATGTCAAAATTAATTAACTGTTCTCTTGGAAGTGCAGCAAAGTGAACGTGTTTTAAAGTATATGGGAAAGCGCATGGCTTTTTCTTTTAAGATACTTTTGCTGTCTCAGTTGGGATTATCAAAGTTCCTGTCTTCAGACTCTTTCCTGTTTTCTCGAGCCCTTACCCAAACTTCTGAAGCCCTCTCTAGGGAGATGCAGATCATTCAAGCATGGGAGAGGGAGATAGAGGGACATATGCACTGTTTTAAGTTATGTGCACATTAAGAGCTGCATATGCCTCTAGCCATTTTGTAGCTGCATCTAGTCAGGTAGAGCTCACTGATGGGAAGAGAATATATTTTTAAAAGAGACTATAGTAGAGTCCAATCAGAACTGGGTCCGTTTTCTTCTTTAAATGGTATGTGGGGACTGCTTATAGTCTGCCAACTACTTTGATTTCGAAAGGATGAGGGGATGCAGCATACAAGGAGAGTGGTTGAGCTAACAGTGATCAGACATCATGCTAATTGAAAAGAAAGCAAGAGTGGAAAATAGGACTGTAAGACTGAGAAAGCTGAGATGATCTAGCTGTTAACAGACAGGATGGCTGGAGTAGATCCAAAATGGCACTACTTCAGTTTGGCTTTCGTTATGTCTGTGCTGCCTGCAGTGCTTTTCTGGCTCACAAGAAAAAAAGTGAGGTGTAAGGGAAAGAAAGCTTTTGATTTCTGGTGAGGGAAAGACAATGAGTTTGTCACTACCTGTCTATCTTATTAAAATATTAATCTTGCCTTGGTTGGAATAGGAGGTATGGATAGGTGGTCTTCCATTGATTAAAGATAACAGGCTGATAGATTTGGGGCTCTTTTTCTGTATTGCAGGTATTCTATTCCAGACTCCTTGAGGAAGCAAACAGAGGTTCATTTCCAGCTGAAGTGATTAACAAAATCTTTTCTAACATTTCATCAATAAATGCCTTCCACAGTAAATTCTTACTTCCAGAACTTGAGAAAAGAATGCAAGAATGGTAAGAGGCAATTCACTGGTTAATATACTACTAAAACTGTGTCTGTAGAAACTCTGTCACAGGGTTGATATAGGGAAGGTACCTTCATAATAAAGTGCTCCAGGCCCAGGAAGTACTGTGGGTAGGAGAACATCTGCTCTTCCACTCTTCATCAGGTTCTGACTCAGTAAAGGACTTGCATCATTTGCTCAAAATAAAGGACATGTATCTCGCTGAAGCTAGTGAGATTACTCATGATTAAATGCCTTGATGAATTAGGGGTTCAGTCTGAAGTTACATGCTACTTGATAAATTCATTGCACAGAATACAAAATTGAGATAAATAATACGTATGGTTTTGTGCTACCCTTGTAGCACAGTAAGCTTTGTTGTTCTTGTTTTCTGTAATAAGGTGGGATACATTCTTGTTTTTCTGTGTTTTGGTTTTCTGTTTGAAATTAAAATCCATTTCAGGTGTATTTTGGGGCCATTTTCCATCCAGCTTTTTTCTTGACCTCTGTTTGGAACAAGCAAGGATAGGTGAGGTGTGCTTTGATCATACTCTGTAGTGATCATGTAAAGATATTGTAATATCTTTATCCTGCCTTGGTGTATGCAATCCTGGAGATATTAAAATATAACCATGTATTTTCTGTCTCTTAAAAGTACCAAAGCATTGCTGCTTCCCTACTTTATGTGGGAAAAGGGATCACCTAATTTAAAAAAAAAATAAATTTACAAATATTGTTTCATCCAATTGTTTCAGCTCAGCATTTGTTTGACTTCTGTATTCCATGTTATCTAGAGTTTCTTATGAGGAATTCAAGTGTTTTTTCCATATATCATTTCCATTTACACTTTCATGTAAGTCCTTAATTGTCAAAAATAACACTGAAAGTTGAGAAATAATGTATTTTTGTGACATACATGAAAATCTCAGAAGACACAGTGGTGCTTTAGACAACAGCTATATGTCTCTGGACTCTGTAAGATGTTTCCTCTTTAAAATAATGATTCTTTGAAATAGAATAGTTGAAAAAATGTGATAGGAAAACAAATGCCTGTATTAAAATAGTGTATATTCATGAGAAGTGGAGTTTAACTTACTGTATTGATTAAAAAGCAGCTTACACTACATTATGTCAGTGATTTTGTGATGTACTCTTAAAATTTTGCTCTGGGCACTTTAGAGAGCACAGAAGATGGGTTGCACTACCTTATTTGCAAAATGCTAGACAGCTCACTCATGCTGTGTGTATAATTATATATCTTCAAAGGTCAAAAAGTGCTTTTGCAAATAAGCTTTGACTATTGGTGCAAAATTAATAAATTGCATCCTAAGGATATTATCTCTTCCACACTGTTTGGAAATAACCTCTGTGCTGTATCTGAGATGGCCTGTTTAAATGTTCTTAAAATGTTTTCCTTTTGGGAGGAGTTAGAAGACAAGATGCAGTTGAAGAAAACTATTTCTGATCATTGCTGAAAGAAAAATCTGAGCTAACTTTCTCTTCCCACTACCAGTCTCTGAAACTGTCTGGCACATCAGCTTCTACCAGATACAGTTTATTTTCCTCGGTAGTTCCCCTAATTAGACATAGAAAATACTTAAACCTACCAATAGAACATATTTGTGCACCACTTCTGATATTCTTTAGCTTCCAATAAAAATAGCTGGATAAAAATTTCTGACACCTTCCCTGACTTGTGGTTTGTTTTGAAAAAACAAGTAAAATATAGCGTTGCAACTTGGGAATGAAGATCAGCAGCAGATTCTTGTTTCTTAAAAGAAAAGTCAGTGTGAATCTAAGCTTATTGAGTGGAAATGAAATTGTCTGGTAGTTGCATTTTGAATGAGTTGAACAACAGCTGGAGCTGAATATCTTTTACAACATATGGCTTGAAAATACTGGAAACAGCCTTGTTGCAATATATTTCCAATGAAAAGAGCATGATAGAGCATAACAGTGATCCCACATCAAACAGAATACTGATCTAACTCTTTTGTACCTGAGGATGACGTGTTAGCTTGTATATTGGAAGAGAAAGCAATCTTTCTGTAGCCACCTTTGCTGTGCTGTGATTTTAGAGACTCTTGCTTAGTTTTCTTGCAGCCATGACTGTTTTAGATGAGATGCTACAAATCGTGATTAGTAGGCCAGCTATTTTGTGTTTGAATTTTTAGAATACAAATGTGAATACTGTTGTGGTCTGATAACAGAAATACAAAGTGTTTCTTTATCTGTGTTACAACATAAAGTCCTATTTCTTGACCCATACAATGATGCTGTCAGTGTTGACTTGGGTCCACAGCATTTATCTTTCTGAGATCTCTATCCAAGAGAACAGTAGCTGTCCTGGACCTGATGGCATTTAGTAGAAATAAATTGTATTTTGACTCGTGGTGCATAGTGTTTGAATATGAGATGAATTAGTTACCTATACTTTGTATGTCCATCAAGGAGGGATGCTGCTCTCGGAAAGTTCTGCTTTATGTGACTTCCCTCATCCTTGCTATTCTATCAGACCTCTTTGTATGATGTCAACCTTGTCTTTTTTACCTGAAATGATGATGAATTTGTGTTTTTACAGCCTCAGTCTTTGGACATATAAGGGTCTTCCTTGCATGAAAAGTAGTTTTGAAATTTTTTTACTCTTCCGAGGCAGTGAAATTGCAGCACTCTTGGGTAAATGAGCTGTCATAGGTATCCAAGGAGCGGGCATAGAAAACTGTTCCTAATTCTTGGTTTATAAAAGTTTTCACATTTTCTTCTAATGTCTGTCTAGTAGTAGTAGTTGTAAAACAGCTAAGTAGAAGTATTCTTTTTTTGTGCCAGTTTCTTTAGAAACAAAGGATTGCCACAGTCTTTTCTGCTTTAAGGTGTTTTTTTAATTGCAAAATTTTATTATTATTTATCTGTTAAATTTATCAGAAAACTTTAATGTCTGTGTTTTGTTTTGGGTTTGTTTTCTGGAGACCTCTGGAAATGTGTTGACATTTTCTTTGACTCTGTTGGAATTGGCATGATTTGTATTTTATTTTTGGTTAAAAATATGCTGCACTGCAATAAAATGACAATCCATGGAAAAATAACATTCAGTGAATCATAGGAGAGGGTTCTTGTTTTAAATTGCTAGCTTGCCATTGAAAGTGTATGTGTCTGCTTGTATGTAGAGTGATTGAACAAATACATGAATCTAATTAAGGGTGGAGAGCCTTGGTGATTTCAGAGACCAACTTCCCACCCTATCTTGTCCCCTTCTCTAGTTGCCAGATCCAGCAGTAGCTCAGACCTCTGCCAGGTCTTACACAGGTACCTTCTGGCCCCCCAGAGGCAGCTGGATCTGGACCAACCTTTGCCAGTTCTGGCAACATTCACTATTCTGGTAACTTTTCCCTTTTGCGCAGCTTTTCTCTTGAAGAAGTGGTGTGCTGGAGTAGACCGCTGAAGTAATTGCAGTAGATTGCCTTGCTACAGACCACTACCACAACATTGATTTCACACTTTCAGAAATCCAGAGATACCAAGTTTCTGAGTGTGTCCTTGAAAATTAAATGTGAAACGTGTTTCCTGTTGTAGTTCTCAGAGATGCATGTGTGCTGTTCCACTTTCTTTGCGTTTGTTGAGAATGGAGCTTCTCTCTGCCTCTCCATCAGTTTCTCTACTATTCTGTTTTATTTGAAGATGCTGTCAGTATTCAGGGAAGATGTGAGAAAGTTCTCACAAAAGACTGGAATCCAAGGGATTCTCTTGTACTTCCTAGGTTTTCTTAGATAAATAAAGAATTTTAAAAGTTGTAAATACATGTATGTATATAAGGCACAGAAGGGAAGTGGTACAGTATGGATTTAGTCCTCAAAACCACAGGTTAGATATTTAGAGGGTAAAGTATGGTCGAAAGAAGATAATGTAATTTTAAGGAACTGCAAATAAAATAAATTAGACCATGTTTTGCAAACAAAATCTTTCAAGCTATCTATCATTATATATAGCTTTCCTTTCTGTAGTGCTCTACATGACCTATAATGCTTACACGTCATCAAAGAGGATACAAACGCTTTTTCTATGTTAATGCTGTTCAGTTTAAATGGTTATGTTGGAAGAGGCAATCCCAAACAGAAGGAATCTCTGTTAAACACATGAAACCATTTTGTAACGTAGCATGACTTTTTTTTCTTTCCTGTTTGTTCTGAGATTCCACCCTCTTACTTTGCAGGACTACCACCCCCAGAATTGGAGATATTCTGCAAAAGTTAGCTCCTTTCCTCAAGATGTATGGAGAGTATGTGAAGAATTTTGATAATGCAATGGAATTGGTGAAAACATGGACTGAACGATCACCTCAATTCAAATTCATTATTCAAGACATTCAGGTAATGGGGAGAATAATGTAGATCTCCAAGTAATACAAGTATGTATAAAAACATATAAGTTTCTGGGTGAAAAAGGATTAAAGAGAAAATTATATACCAAATCACATAGAATTAAGGGTGGTTGTTTTTGTCTGCTTCACACCTCATTCTGTTTCTTCTCCTCCCTTCACGTACGTACATATACCCACTCAAATTTCCTTTCCATTTGTACTGGGTCTGGCTGAGCTGGAATAGGTTTTACCCTATTGCAGCCCTCACGGTGCTGTGGTTTATGCTGGGAGCTGGCAGGGTGTTGGTAGCACCCTGGTGTTGTGGCTACAGCTGAGCAGGGCTTACACAGCACCAAGGCTCTTTCCGACATTTCCCCCCAAGGTGGTACAGGGTGGGCAAGATCTTGGGAGGGGACACAGCCAGGACAGCTGACCCAAACCAACCAAAGGGATATTCCAGGATAAAGCTGGGAGAAAGGAGAAAGGGGGAGGGGTCACCCTTGGTCCTCCGAGGCAACCACTACGTGTATAGGAGCCCTGCTTCCCGAGAAGGCCCCACATCGCCTGCTCATGGGAAGTAGAGAATAAATCTGTTTTCTTTTTTTGCTTCTGCATGCAGACATTTGCTTCACTTTGCTTACATTAAAACTGCCTTTGTTTTACGCACAAGTGTTGGGTTTTTGGGTTTTTTTTCTATCTTCTTTCCCCCTTTTTGCCCTGTTGAGAAAAAAAGGGAAAGAGAGGGGTGTGATAGAGTGACTTGGTGGGTACCTGTCATTTAGCCAAGGTCAAACCACTACACCAGTGCAACACAGAGGACCAAAGTAGAAAGGCTGAAACATGAGAAGACTAAAAATATACTGCAGTTTCTCATAGATACCAAAAGTAAATACTGTTTTAGGATAAAGTGACATATCCGTGCAACTCTAGATCCTTGCACTGAATCCACAAGTACTGTGTTGGCTCACACGAGTGCTGTTATGCAGAGCTTTGGAAGTAAGTATATAATCTTAAATGCTGAGCCACAAAATGTAAATAAAGCTTAGCTGTGAGGCAATGCACCATTCCTGTCAAAGGTGTGTTTTATACCCCCTAGTGCTCCCTGTAGGCTTCCCTGTGAATTGGCAGGTACGTGTCTTCCTACTGCAGACTGAGCAGCTAGAAATAGGATCAGGTATTTCTGCTTAAACTTTACTACTCTATAAGGTCTTGTGATTTTAAGACAGGGAAGACAACTATGTGTATTTTAATGTAATCTTTTAATTGTATCTAAGATTATGGGAATGAATAGGCATCTTAAAACACTTCTGAGGAAGGTTATGTTATGAATGAAACTCAAAGAAAGCACTCCCTTCTCAGATAGGTAAATGGGCTATAAGGGTATGTTTTAAGAATTGTATTCTAATACACAGACATGAACTGTTCTTATTCAGTTGTAATTCCTTTGAGTTATTACAAAACTAAGTTAAAATACACTGAAGTTCGGCAGGGGTTTTTGGTAGCACTTTTATTTGTGAATTCTACTGGTCACTTAGAAAACTTTTTACAATTATCTTTACAAAAGAATTCCTAATTATTTGGTTTGGTAAAGTATTTCTGTTTTCTTTCAAAAGATCTATCATGCATGTTTCAAAATACATTTATGTTTTATCAGTCGTAACTTTTATTTTACTACATCTTAACATTTTTACCTACTACATTGAAATATGTTTACAATTTTTTAGAAGGAAAAAGTGTGTGGAAATTTGACATTGCAACATCACATGCTAGAACCAGTACAACGCATTCCACGCTACGAGATGCTTCTAAAGGACTACCTAAGGAAATTGCCTCAGGATTCTCTAGACTGGAAAGATGCTGAAAGTAAATATCTTCTAGCCATTAAAAGAGCTGTATTAAGATAATAGTAAGAGGATATTTTAAATTAAGGATCTTTTCAGGAAAAATAAAATGAAGAAGCAAAGTCCCTCTGAGAAGAAACATAGAATTTCTTAACTGGATATGTAGGTTTCTTTGAAAAAAATCTGTCTGAATAGTGGATGAAGTGAATATATAAACTATAAAGCCTTTAGTGTTCTCCTAGAGCACATAAGTTTTGCTTTTGTTTTAGAATAACACACAGGTTTTTATTTATTTGATTTGCAGATGATGAGGCGTTGTGGTGGTTTTTCTTTGGGTTTTGTTTGTTTTGTTGGCATTTTGGTTTGCTTTGTGCACATTTGGAATGTATGTCTCTTATTTGTAAAAAAGTGGCATTAGACTCATTATTGTATGTTTAAGCTCCTGTGGGGAAAAAGAACAGCCCATTTTAAAATTTATTCCTCTCTGTATTTACACAAGAACAGTTCAAGATATTTCCAAGGATTATTCAAAATTACCTGCCAAATAACTTTTAAAAAATACTTGTTAGTACCATTACTGTAAATATTTGTAATATGAGCTCTTTCAATTAAAAATTTAGATTGACATTCTGGACTACTCAGAGAAAAGAGGGGAGAGAGCCATGACTGTCCACAAAAAATGTGGTTCTAAGTGCTGAATCTCTAAAGGAATCTGCAATAATTCTCTTTTGATCTTTCCAGGTTATAATTTCTATTTGGTAGCTGACTTTCTTATGCTTTCTACTTTACCTTGGTTACTTTTTATTTATATTTTAAGAAGTTTATTATAGTGTGTAATTTACATAAAAATTACAAACAATTTTATAGAATGGTCCTTTTTTTTTTCTCCTATGTGACATATAAATATGTAAACATTCAGCTTTTTGGTTTTACTTCTCTCTTTCTTCTATTTAGAATCCTTGGAAATTATATCCACTGCAGCAAGTCACTCGAATAGCGCAATAAGAAAAATGGTAAATTTTCCTCATCTTCCAGTTCACTTTTTAATATGATATATTTGAGTATTTGGTGAAGCTAGGATTGTGAATTGAAAATCTTCCCTAAAATGGCAAAAATGGGTTTCCTGGGTCACGTGATTGCTCCTACTTAATGTATTTATACAACTTCTGGGAATGATAGACAAAATCTAGCACTGCACCTAATTCTCTTAAGAGGAAAATGGCACAAACTGGGTTCCTCTGCTGGCTCAAATAGCTGATACTACGCTGGGTATTCAACCTTGTTTCTGTCAGTGGAAAGATAATGTTTGTAAAGAGTAGTTACTGTTTCTCTACCTTATTGGGCTGGCATAATCAGTATTTCATTAAGTATGTGAGATATTTTGGAAAAGAAGTAACACAGGCTGTCTATATAACTGCATTTTTAAAATTACCAAGGAGATAACATTTCTAAAAGTACTTGTTACCGTATCAACTAAGTTAACCAGTCTGCATGGCTGACTGTATATACCAGGTATATATGTTTTTCAATGTGAACAGTCTCTGGACTGAATGCAAGCTCCCATACCTTCATTTAAACATGCTTAAAGATCTGTGCTTTTAATTAAATAAGTTTTGTAACTATATTTTCACTGCAAAGGAAAATCTAAAGAAATTGTTAGAAATATATGAGATGCTGGGAGAAGAGGAAGACATTGTGAACCCTTCAAATGAACTGATAAAAGAAGGACAGATCCTCAAACTCGCTGCTCGCAATACATCTGCTCAAGAACGGTATCTTTTCCTAGTAAGTACGGTGGCCTGTGTTTGTAGAGAGGGAAATCCTATTCTAGTTGATGTCAGTGCCTTTCCACTAATGATATTAGAGTGTTAGTAAACCATATACTGCTTACAGAAAAGCTTGAAATCACCGTTTAGAATGGAATACATGGTTTTAAATAAATGGAATAAGTGCCCAGCAACTATCTTTTAAATAAGTGGTTCTTGATTAGGTCCTAGAGCATGAGAACTTTGATATTCTCATGAAACTGAAATGTAAAAGCTTAAGATTTTAGTCCTGATAGATTGTGTATTGAGATTCCAGTAAGTCTTATGGTCTTGTGGGAGCTTGTTACGGTGGCAGGTCATCCTTCTGTCAGGTGCCTGTGTCCTGCAAACTTACAAACTACAGCCATGCTCCCTTACAACTCCCTTGGAAAACCTTTGATGTACTTCATTGCTTCCCATGCATTAAAACCTGCTAATACATGTTTGCCTATGGGCCTCTGGCATTGCATGTCTTCTGGTCAATAAAGAGTAGTAACAGGTTGTTGAGGCACAACTCCTGCTTATCTGTGCTTCACACAAGGAGAAATCATTGAATAGTAAGACCTCAGATGGGACTGGACAGCTGACGAAAATTATGTGCACTTTATATGAGAACTGACAAGTTTAAATGTGCTGTATATGTGATAGAGACTAGGCAATAGGCTAGACAGCATTTATATGAAAAAGGACTTAACTGAAGTGAGTTTTTCTTCTTAATAATTAATTTTGAGGAAAATGTGAGAAAATTAAACATTCGAGATCTGATTTAATAACTGTGCTTCTAGGCTGTGACTTTAGACATTTAAACATTATTTAAAGTTCTCATTTTTAATAAAGGAATATATCTTTGTCTCATTTATTATATTTTTCCTGTGATATTAAGGGTTTCAGTGAATAAAAACTCTTAAGAAATGTTCTTCTGTCTTGGAGAAAAGACAAATAACATCCTCAAATAATATTAGTCACAACTTATACAAAGCCAAATGGGTTTGGTATGGAGTAAATGTATACACTGAAGAAAAGAGTTCTGCAGTTCAGAGTAGGTTTTTCAGAACTGGGGCATAAGAATGTTTTTTCTAACAAAAGCTTTACTGTGCTATAAAATACACAGTCTGAGTATAGTTGATAATAAACGTCATGAAGACTGCTGCATTTACAGAGCAATTACTATTCTAGCCACTGAAGCTATTCTTTAATCTTAATTCTTAACAAGAAAAAGAATTTGTCTGGCATTACAGCTTTGGTGGTCTTGTATATCAACCAAGCAGGAAAGAACCTGCTTTCTCACCCACCAGGTCTAGCTTTGCGATATTGTCCAGTTTTCAGTAGAAACTGTGGCTGTATCTGTGTTTTTGTTAATGCAAAGCTGTGTGTTGTTTTTTGGTTTTATTTGTTTTTTTTCCCCAGTTTAACAATATGTTGCTCTACTGCGTCCCCAAATTCAGCCTGGTAGGATCAAAGTTCTCAGTTCGAACCAGAGTTGGCATAGATGGCATGAAGATTATAGAAACTCATAATGAAGAATATCCACACACTTTTCAAGTGTCTGGAAAAGAGCGAACACTGGAGTTGCAGGCCAGGTAAGCATTCTCTTTATCTAGTTTTTGGAGGATTAAACATTTACACACACGAGTGGACTAACAGATTTGGAGAAAGATGCAGTGGGCTTCATCTTAACATCAGTGTTTTGAAAATAGTCTAGGATGCCAAATACTGCCTTGTGGAGTACAAGATGCATCTAGAGTGTATAATGCATTGCCTTACTTTGCAGAAATACCTAAGATAGCTGTGAATGGGCTGGCTGGAAAACTGAAAGCAGCATACCTAACTGGTGCAAAGGCAATCTGTCCATATTAAGCGTTTTGGGACACTGAGTTTGTTAATCTCTGGGCAGTGCTGCTGCCTCAGGTACCTGAGCCACCTTGGTAGGAATAAGTCTGTTCACCTCAGGGCATGTCCATTGAACAGAACTCTGCACTCTGGTGGGTTTTTGTCCACAGAACATAGTTTTCTACAGTGGTAGATGGGCACCTGCTTTCCTGCATTTCTCAGGCCTGTTTCCAGTCTATATGTTTTCCTCTGGTCGCAAGTATCAACCTCACCCTGAAAGGCAAGTTTTCCTTTTAGTTCTTTGGTCCTTTTCCTCCAGTTGCAGTCTTCTAACTGGCACTTGTCTGCTTTCCTTATTAGTCCTTGTATTCTCCTCTTGCTGGGTTACCTTCCCATTGCTACTTTTTGCATTGCCTAGACTAAATCTTCCCTGTCTAGACTGTCCCACTTCAAATAAAGTAGGGTGCTCTACCTCTCCTTTTGGACCTGCTTCAAGATCTTATTCTTAGCACTCAGGATTTCATTGCAGAGAGGCAAGGATTAAATAAGTGGGAGGATGTCCATGGTGGATACGGTTCTGTGTTGACACCATGTATTTGGGGACAAATCGTAGCTTGCTAGTAAATGAGCTTGCAAGCTACTTTCCTTTATGGGAAAAAATTTGTAATATCTAATGAGTAACAGTGGTGAATACAGAAATACAACAGCATGTAGAAATCTACTACAGTATCACTGAATTTGAAATTAAAAATATACTTTGAAAAATGACAGCAAAAAGCTTTCCAGAAATCTCTGCAAGACTTTTGGAGCATGTTTTTGGCTATCAATCGCATCTATTATAAATAGCTGTATGATGGCTTTCTAAGTATTTGGCAAGTTGTTATACCATACGTTAATTTCAGTGGTGAAATATGGCATCTTGCTGTACTGTTTGTGAAGTACTTTTTAATTGGAAGAAAAATGAAGCAATAAAGTAAGTTTATTTTGTCAACTTTAAAGAATTATCTAATTAAAAGTTTATTGCATTAGTTTATTTTGAGTGTGAGAAGAATAATGTTTTTGGTTTATGAACATTTTTAGAATGCACTAAGTTTGTACAAAACTGTGAAGGAATAAACACCAAACAAGATCTTATTCAATTATATTAGAATAATCTTGATTATTATTATTATTATTAAGGTACCATGTACCTTAATATTAGTCCTGAAATCATGAGCTTGCATTAAGTGTTGTAATGTTTAGTTTACCCATGGGGTTTTCTTTACGAGTAGGCTTCTGTTTATTTTTCAGAATATTGTTTGAGTACATTTTCAATCACTGGTTTTAAACAGCTGGTAGATTATTTCTTTGAGAGGTTGCTGATATAGTATGACATTTAATAGCCCATCTTTTGGTTTTTAATGTAAGCAGGTAGGGAGAATTATTTTGGCTGTTTAGACATGTTTTTTCTGCCTCGTATGCAGATGGTAGGTGGGATGAGGAACACTTGTTTAGGACTCTACTTGCTTAAAAGTTGTAATAATACTGCAAAACAACATGTGAGGGCTGTTTTTATTGAGATACTGTAAGTTCTCTTTCACATCCTTTGTAGCAATCCATAGAAAAATAAAATTTTGCGTGGCCAATACTGCACAGCTATAGGAGCTTGGTGTCCCCCCCCCCCCATCATTTCCAAAGAGAGGGCCACTTTCGGTTCTTACCTTTCTGACTTAAGTTTTCACTGCTCACACTAGCTAGTACTTTCTAATAGTAGTATTACTTGTGATATAAGATGCTTTTCCAAAGATGTAAATGTAAGAATTCTGATAATATATATTAAAGACAAAGCAAAGATCAGAGATGAATAAGCTTCCTCTGTCATCTCTGTCCTGTCTGTGTATCTCATCTGTACTTACTGTTAATTCATCTGTGTCTGCTCTGATGTATAAAAGGGAAATTTCTGCTGTTTGGTATTAAAACACATTTAACCTTTTGTTTAGCTGGATACTCTTCTTGCCACTGTAGACAAGTTTAACAACAGTCACAACAAAAAAGCATTCAGGAAATTACTTTTGTTGGGGAGGGAGGAAGATTTAAGTGATACACAGGAGAAATGTGTGTTAGTATGTGAACTTAGTAGTGCATGAAATGAGAGAAGACAAAACCATCTACACCTAAACTTTGTATTGTCCACTTTTCCTCTCTATCCTGTTCTCAAAAAAACCCCCAAAAACAAAAACCAAAAAAACCAATCAAAAAAAAACAAAACAAAAAAGGGGGGGTGGGGCTAATAATGCAAATAGCATTATTACTTTTAAATGCATTTCAATTTAACTTTCAACTTGAATTCACTGTTTAGTGGTTGCAGAGTGAAGCCTGAACTCTACTTATGTTTTCTGTTTTGTTTTGTGGTTTTGGTTTATTTTAAGCTGCACAGTTAGCAATTAGTATTGCTTAAATTCTTGAGAATTACTTCAAAAGCTTGGCTTTTGCAATAAGTTGTTGATTGTGAGATAATGTTTCGTGAACTAGTTTTGGACTAATGTGTCAAATATTTCTTTTAGTTCTGAACAAGATAAGGAAGAATGGATAAAGGTAAATTCATCTACATTCTTTATTTTCTAAACACTTTTTCACTGAAGCAATTGAAAAAGTGATACTCATATTTTCTGGCTGTAGTTTCCCTCTGCTAATTAGTAACAGGTCAGAATGCAGAGAGTCTGTTTTGAATGTAGTATGTTTGAGAAATTTATCCATTGTTTCCTTAGGCACTTCAGAATACTATAGAAGCTTTTCAGCAGAGGAATGAAACTTTCAGAAATGCTATTGCTAAAGAATATGAAGACATGCCTGTTGAGGTTTCTGTAAGTTACTGTTATTCCTTTGTAACCTTCTTAGTACCCATTTTGTTTTTCAATAACTGGAAAAAGTTTGCCAAACACTTTATTTTCAAGCTCAACATTCTTACAGCAGAGGAATTACAAAGCAGTCAGCTTGTTGTTAATTGTTTTTCTTCATAATGCCAAACCTTAATAAAAAAGCCTCTTTTTTCTTGAAATACATAACAGAGTACCCTTTCAGTGATACATAATTATTTTTAACTGTGTTCTTTGTTATTTCTTGTATAGATTTCAAAATGTATTTTGAGCTGTATTTTGCCATTTCCTTTCTAGAGGAAGAGAATAATTATTTTCTCTATTTAAAGTACTGCACAACTTTGTTGACTGGCTCTTTTTATTCACCCATCCTCACCCCGTCTCCCTTCAGAATGCTGAACTTGGGAAGAGAGCACCGAGGTGGATACGGGACAATGAAGTAACCATGTGCATGAAATGCAAGGAACCCTTTAATGCACTGACAAGGAGAAGGCATCACTGCCGAGCATGTGGACATGTAAGTGCCAAACCTCACCTAGATAGTGAGCAGGTGCAGGAACTGGTCTAAGCACCTACTCCTGGTGGTTGCTTGTTATGTTGCTGTGGCCAAAAGCAGAAGCTGTGTATAGCATACTACAAGGGATCCTCTGTCTGCTTTAGTTGTCACGGTAAATTTGGAAGTAATTTACAGCAGAGGAAGATGCATGTTTGTGTAAAATGTTCCAAGCCCCTGGACATACTACACTGTTACTCCTGAGTGGCCTCCACTGATCTCAAGTTTCAAGACCACTTGAAACTGGCATAAGCCAGTGTTATCCCTAGCAGCACTGACTGCCTCCTATTCCCATTCTGCTACCTTCTCTCTCCTCTTCGCAAGAAGACCACGAAGACCTGCAATTAAAACGTTTTCAATGGGTTAACTTGGAGCTGTTCCCAGCTGGGTTCAGTGTGTAACTGTGAACATGAATGAAGCATCAGGGAAGGAGAGAAGGTTAGGAAAGGGAGAGAGTATTACTGCTGCTTTCTACGTATGGTGCTGCGGTAACATACGACACTTTAAAATGACTATGAAATAGTGGTGACTTGAGATTTTTCAGAAATTAATAAAATATGAGCAAACATACTGTGCTTTTTTTTCTTGACATCCAGCAGCTCTGCCTTTCTCCAGCAGGTGGTAGTGCAAGCCCAGGTTTAATTTTTGTCTTGCATGTTAGCTTGCATAATTTCTTTCTTATGTTTTTATATGGTATGAAGCTTACCACATTCACAACACTACTGTTGTGCTTTGCAGGACACTAGAGACTTTTTCAGAATCTCTGAATTAGTGATTATGTAGTTGTTATCTGAGGTTTTCTCCAGATCATTCTGTCTTAAAACTCCTCTGTTAATCTTAAGAATGTACCCTTCCTTTTTATTCCCCCTTTTTGTTTAGAATCCTAACTACTCCCTACTACAGTAGTTCTAGCAGATCATCTTGCAATTTAATTTAAAAATATTTTTTCATGGGAATTAATTTCGGTCAGTGATGGTGTCTTTTCAGTAGTGGCTAATTGGGAAGACTTAACTAGTATTCTCTAGGGCAATGGTTCTCAACCTGTGGTCCGTGGACCCCTGAGGGGGCCACAGTGTCATCACAGGGGGTCTGTGAAGGCTTAAAACAGGGGTGGGGACCATCCAGCCCAGAAACATTTGGTTTGGCCCGTGGCAAGCACTGTACCTCCTTTTCCCACAGCCCCCTCCCTTCAATGCCCTCTCATTCTCAAGCCCCCCACCTCATCTGCCCTGACATGATAGTATATCTGGTGCTAGTATGGTTGGTGGAACCCACTTCAAATAGGCGGTTTTTCTCTTAAAGACATTTCCTTAATCCAACAGTCCTCTTTAGGGTCATAATGGGGCTGGTCTCTTCCTCCAAGTGGTAGCCCTGGACCTGTAAACAAAAATATATGGTGACTGAACACAGACAAACACGGGGGGAGGTGAGGAGAATTGTAAAAAATTTTCATCAAATTTTGATGTAAAAATTGGCATCAAATTCAGAATTAGCATGTTAAAATGCCATAAAATGGGCCATTTGAGCAAGAAGAGCGCTGATGCTATTATTTTAAATTTGTATGGAATCATTACAATAAAGATATAATAGGAGAGTGTCTGTTAACAGATTTGACTTATTTCCTCTTTCCTCCAAATTTGAAGATCCTTCATGAGAAAATTGAAATAAATATCTGATGTGGTCTAATGCTTTACATCTTGAATTAAGTCTTGGTAGTCCACGGCCCCAACAGGTGTTTAAAGGGGGTCTATGGTGGAGGAAAGCTTGAGAACCCTGCTCTAGAGAGACTAGTTAAAGGTAGCGATCTAGATTAGTACTGCAGAGTGCTGGTCCACAATAAAATTTTGTTCAGGTGTTTGAGTGGTTCAACTCCATTTGTCTGCCTTTCTTGAAATAACCGCACTCATATTTTTTAATGCAGAGAATCTTTTTCACCTGGAAGAACATTTCTGTGGAAAAACATTTCTAATGAAAGAACTCGGATCTCTCTTGCATTTCAGTTATGTTTATTTTGTTTAATATTTATTTGTTGGCAACATAGACAGTGAGATTGAGTGCACCCTCAGCAAGCTTGGTGACAGCACCAAGCTGTGGGGTGTACTTAATACACTGGGGGGAAGGGAGGCCATCCAGAGGGACCTGGACAGGCTTGAATGGTGGGTCCATGCAAACCTCATGAAGTTCAACAAGGCCAAGTGCGAGGTCCTACACATGGGTCTGGGCAATCACAGGCACAAATACAGGCTGGGCAAAGAGTGGATTGAGAGCAGCCCTGCGGAGAAGGACTTTGGGATAGCAGTGAAAAGAAAACCAACTATGAGCCAGCAATGTGTGCTCGCAGCCCAGAAAGCAAACCACATCCTGGGCTGCATCAAGAGAAACGTGGCCAGCAGGTTAAGGGAGGTGATTCTTTCCCACTACTCTGCTCTTGTGAGACCCCACCTGGAGTACTGTGTCCAGCTTTGGGGCTCCCAACATATGAAGGACATGGACCTGCTCAAGTGGGTCCAGAGGAGGCCACAAAGATGATCAGGGGCTGCAGCACCTCCCCTGTGAGGACAGGCTGAGAGAGTTGGGGGTGTTCAGCCTGAAGAAGAGAAGGCTCCAGGGAGACCTTATAGCAGCCTCCAAGTACTTAATGGGGGCTACAGGATAGATGAGGAGGGACTCTTTATCAGGGCATGTAGGGATAGGAGGAGGAGTAATGTTTTAAACTGAGAGAGGGTAGATTTAGATCAGATGTAAGAAAGGAATTCTTTACTGTGAGAGTGGTGAGACACTGGCACAGGTAGCCTAGAGAAGCAGTTTATGTCCCCTCCCTGGAAGGGTTCAAGGCCAAGTTGGACGGGGCTTTGAGCAGCCTGGTGTAGTGGAAGGTGTCCCTGCCCATGGCAGGGGGGTTGGAACTAGATAATCTTTAAGGTCCCTTTAACCCAAACCAATCTATTCTATATATAGATATACAGTGAAAAGAAAAATCAGTGTAATACTAGCTTATTTATTCTGTGTACTTATGAACAGATTCTAAAACTGTAAATTTAATATTTATTAGCAGGTTACAAAACCAGCCATTTCTGATTTTATTAAATTTTATCATTAAAAGTGCATCTCAGTTGTACATTTCTGAGATTACGTAGAAAACAAAATGGTAAATGTAACTTTTCAGGTTGGCACTTAAACTGGAGGATTTTCTTCCTGCAGCATGGTTGCTACATTCTGATTCTGTTGCTAACTTTAACCTACAGACAGAATTGAAAGCCTAATGTGATTTTATGCAAAGTACGAAATTCTACCACATAAAAACCACTTCTAGTTAAGAAGCAGTGGCACAGAATTGTTATTTACAATTAAGTTATTGTTGACATGTTGTAAAGGCATTATATTTCTTGTTCTGTATGATTAAAAAATGTATTGCTAAGTAGATAAAAATAATATGAATTTTTAATTAAATTCGGTTTCATAAAGTTTTATAAATACTTAAAATTTTTTTTGTTTCTAAGGTGGTTTGCTGGAAATGTTCTGATTACAAGGCACATCTTGAATATGATGGCAATAAACTGAACAAAGTCTGTAAGGACTGCTATCATGTTATAATTGGTTGTAGAGACAGTGAAGAAAAGAAGAAGAAAGGCATCTTGGAGGTATGTAATTTAGAAATACTAAATGTGCATAGCTGCAACAGTTTCGGCTCATCAGTAAGTGAAAATGGTAGCATTCTTGCAGGGCTGTTTTCTGTCTGAGAAATAAGAAGTATGTGAACCAAATTTATCCCATCCAATAGATTTTGTTTTTCACCAATCGCCTTTCACAATATTTTGTTTCTTATAACTTTTTTTTTTAAAGAGGGAATTAATAACCTTGGAGCTTGTTTCCTTCTTTCCAGTTATATCAGCTAATGTAATAAAACATTACCTTTCCTTATAAATCTTCAGTTTTCTTCTGCACTTAAGCTGTTGTAGCAACAAAACCCACTACTACTACAATGGTTCTTGAAAACAAACCCAAACTAAAAGAACTGGGGATGGAGGAGAGGGGAACGGAGGATAATTTTGCTATTCAGAGTCTGAGTAGCAAGATACTGTTTTCATCAGTGTATACAATGTTCTTTTAAGTCATCAAGTTTCTCTCAGTTTTTGATATCTAAAAATCCAAGGTCTCAATCAGGCAATAAAGAACCATGTGTCTTTTAGGGAGGAGAAATAGCCATTTTAGAACCGCAATTAACCTTCACATTTCTTAAATCCCCCTATACAAGCCCTTTTAAAATTCCTGACATACATTAGAGAATTATCATCCTAACTTTGTCAAGATGTATATTTATCTTGGGATGCAGGAGAGAAGTCGACCCTTGAGCTAAATACCAGCAGAAAAAAGAAAGCAAAAGTAAAATAGAGATTATAGTTCCATATACCATTCTTAATCCATGTTGGCTTGACTACACCCTCTTAAATGAGAAAGAATAAGGAGCACAGAACTCCACTAGCTTACCTTATAGTCAAAAGACTGCTGGTTTGTGGCGTGCTTTAAGGTAGCTGAAGGAGCTATAGAGTGTCTTAGAAATGTCTGTCTGTATGCTGGATCTCATGACAGTGGATTGATAGGTACCATGTTGCAGCATCCAAACAGCATCACTACTGGGGCTTTCTCATCTTCTCAGGATTACTATTTAACCCGAGTAGCATGTCACTCTCTCTTCAGATTTTAAGCAATTCACCTAACCCTTTCTCTAGGATTAGTGCTTGCGTTCTTCTATTATTTTTAGAAATGCATTTACATCTGATCCTGTTGTAATATTTCAACTGCCAAAATAGAGTAGTTGTTATATTAGATAGTTAGTAGCACTTCAATGCCTAATAGGATGTTGGTTTAGAAATCAGACATTGTTGCAGATACTAAGATACAGAGAAAGGCTAGCTGTGGTGACAACATGAAGTTTAGAGTGATCTAGAAGTGTATAATCCAAAACAATTGATGAAAGAACGAACCAATTACATATGTTAAGGGAGTATATGTTGTGATTGTAGGTATGTAATATTGAAATATTACATAATTACATATAAAATATTACATATATAAATATCATGTAATTATATATCTAAATGTTACATAATTACATAAATCTAATCCTTATAATTACATAAATCCAGTCCTTTGTGATTTTACTTGGGTATTTGCTCAAGCATAAATCTGAGATTTTATATGAATGATGATGAATTTCTTAGTCTTTATTTAAGGAAAGTTTATTCTCCTTATTATGCTTTATACTATCTCCTAGATTGAATCTGCAGAAGTCTCTGGAAATAGTGTCATATGTAGCTTTCTTCAGTACATGGAAAAATCAAAGCCCTGGCAGAAAGCATGGTGTGTTATACCTAAACAGGAAGCTCTTGTGCTGTACATGTATGGTGCTCCACAGGTACGTACAGAGAAAATGGACAAGATGTTAGTAATTACTGTCACTGACATCTGAGGAGAAGTCAAATACCTTGGGAATGGAGGAAAAGATCTGAGTGTTTTCACCAACCTGTATAGTAAACAAGAGGTAACGGTCAGATTAGTTGGCTGTTCTTAATCAAGAACTTTTTTTTTTTCTTTTTTTTTTTTCTTTTTCATTTTTTAGGATGTTAAGGCTCTGGCTACAATTCCACTTCTGGGCTATACAGTAGATGACACTCCAAGAAGTGCTGACCTTCCACACAGCTTCAAACTGACCCAGTCTAAGTCTGTGCACAGCTTTGCTGCGGACAGTGAGGAACTAAAACAGAAATGGCTGAAAGTTATCCATTTAGCTGTCAAAGGTGAGACGCCAGAATGTCAGAATGAACTGCAAGTGAATTTAGAAGAGCAGCCTGAATCTTCTAAAACATCTGAATGCTGAAGCTCAAGAACACATGGCATTTTTAAAAGATTTCAATTGAATTTATAGTTAACCTTTGTGTTAACTTCTCTTTACTCAATCAAGAAAAAAATAAATAAAAAAAAAAGAAACTTCTTACTACCATACACATCTTAGCACTTTATGTTTGGGAAAAAATCTAGTCTTTTTAGGGATCTTTTTCTTATATTTATGTTCTGTCAATAAAAGTAATGTACAGGTCCATTTCAGAGACTTTAAAAAAAAATGTGAATGCTATTAAAAATACTTACTAACTTTACTGTACTACTTGTTTGTCATGATGCAAATTTTTTTGAAAATCCAGTTGCTCTTTGGTTAACATTTGCTACTTTCATTAAGAATGCAAATATTGAAGCTTCCTACTTACATGTTAGGACTTGCAACAGGATAAAAGATATACCTCCACATTGCCAAAATAGATCTGTAGTTAAATATGCAGGGACAGTTTGGTTTAATGTATGTAGTTTATAGATTGAATTCCACAGGTCTGTACATATGTTGTATTCACTTGTCTCTTTTTAATTAAAGTAATGCAAATTGCTTTCACAGGTATATTGGCTTTTGAAGTTTCAATTTATCAAAGAAACAATCTAATGATTTTCAATTTAGAAATGAATACCTAAAATATGAGAAAACTATATGTGCAGTATTAAAAATGTATAATACTTGACTTGCTTTGATTTCATGATACTGGGTTCCTATTACTCAGTAATTTATTTAAAAAGCATGTTTTCCATTTGAAATTAAACACAGTCCTAAATTAACAAATACTGTTCAGTGATTTTAATAGCTGACATTTAATGATGGTATTTTTATGCATTAAAAAAAATAGTGGCATGCAATGGACAAATAAGTTCCAGTTGTGTTTAAAAGAGTAGTTGCTTTTCTTCAGTGTCCTATCACTGTTATCTTTTATGAGTGCAGTAGTTCATTGCTCAAATGCAGTATGTTGTTTTGAAAACCAACAAATTCTGGTAATCTTCCGGAAGCATGTATTTTTGCTATTATGGTTATTGGAACAAAGCATTTTGAATTTAGATCTTTTAATTTTTGCAGAAGATTAGATACTTTAATACTTATTAACAACAATGTTCAAGGATTATTGCTGTAAAGTGGAGCCTGCTTTATATGAACCTAGTATGAGGTCTGAGCCTGCAAACCTCAAGTTGCATTAACAGACATTATTTGCATTCTGCTTGTGGGAATAAGGACTTGTTGGCTTTACAGTATTAAGTCCCCTATGAACTTTCATTCCTATTAGGGTTTTTATACACAGAGACAAATGACCTCCCTAAAATTTTTGCCGTAACATCTTTGGATAAAATATGATGACTTCAGGGGTAGTGATTGACTATCAAGTTGACAATTAAAATCACTGCCATCTTTCATTTTCTGACCTCTCAAAGGAAGGAAAATATGTAACTTCTACAATCAACTTGTCATAAGAATCTATATTTTAAATAACGTCAAGCTGAAGAGCTCAGGTTTAAGTCCAATTTTGTTAGTAACAGGACAGATTTAATTGTTGCTTTTAGCGTTTAACAGAGGGTTGTTGAAGTAACCTCTGTTTTTAGTGTCAGGCATACATAAGTACACAGTGGCTATCATTCTTTGGTAAGAAGAATGTCATGCAGCTTAATGTTAGCGGGCTGGATTTTGCACTTTCCTGCACAAATCCAAAATCTATCATGGCCTTTAGACTTAAAAGCTTTAAACTAGTGTTGGTAATTATCAGGACATGGCACTGTAGAGTACTAACTCTACAGCTGACTTTGTGCATGTCAGTTCTGAATTATTCCTCGGGTGCTCCATGTGTCCAGATTATTCTGCATGTAACTCTAGTATTCCTTTTATCTGATGTGCAAGGTTTTATGTAATTCTCTATGAGATTTTAAGTTATTTCTACTGTTAGCTGTATTTATTTACGGGCAACTCAGGCCCCTTTTGGTTCATGTTGGTGAGTACCATCAAATCTTCACCTGGGTTTCCCTAGCTAGTAATTGTCTTGTTTATACCTTGGTGAGGGATGGGGGAACATTCAGGTAAGCCAGAAAAACTCTACATAGCTAACTTTCTTTCATGGTTATCTCCTGAAAGTAGGTATCTTCTAAAAGTCTTAAATGCAATTGTGGGATCTGGAGGGTTGTCTTACCACATCCTAATGTATAAAAACATTGTTTGCCATGTTCAAGTTGTTCAGTGTAAGGGGAGAAGTAACTTTAAATGAGTCCCTGGATAAGATGGACTGAGCTATTCTGAAAATAATATAATGGTATGACTGTAATCATGTAGTACATTGTTTTCTGAGCTCCTGCAAACTAAATTCTGAGCCAAGTAGAGACCTATTCCAGCTAAATGTTTAGGGAAATGACTAGAAGCAGCAATTTCTGGGCTGCCTTATTGTTATAGTGGCATTGAGTATCTTCTGTTTGAATTATTTCAGCATCTCCCAGGTAAAGCCCTGCATTTGGGCATAAACAATTTGAAATTAAGTTAGGATTGGGAGTTATTTATTTGGATGCTAGCTTCATGTTTGCTCTCAGCCATTAAAGTTTATATAGTGCAGGATATTTTATTACCCTAATGAAACCTATTTCATGTTCTCATAATCAATTGCTTGGTTAGAATTGTTCTCTTCTGAGTCAGAATGTCTTGGCACTCAAATGTATGCTTCTGTGTGTATTTTGTAGGAAAAGTATGTACCACCAATATTAAAGGAGATCAGAAGATGGAGAAGTTGCTTCTAGATTTAACCACCCTAACTGTTTTACTCCATTCTCCACAGAGGGGCTTCTCCAAGCCCACCTTACAGCTTCCAAAACTTTTTCTAACTTTAAATTGTAAATTGTGACCACAGAGGAACAAATTCAAAGTAGTAACTGCTGCGGCTTAAGTATCGTGACCAAAGCAGTCAAATTAAAACCATCATCCTAACAAGGTATAGGCTGTTCCCATTTCAACTGGGTTTTTTTTGTTTTTTTTTTTTTTTTAAAAAAAGCATTAAATGTATTAGTGTAAAGCTCTGTGTGTGAAGAATAAACTATAACTGAGCATTCATTCATAATACATGAATGTATGTGAATAGCTCTGCTAATTATTTAAGCTTTGCAATTCTTGTGTTCAAGAAATGCTTGTTTCTCACTTTAAAAGTGATCAGTCTTCTGTGCAAATCAAAAGTTATTTTGTGCAGTTTTATCAGTGTTCAACCAGAACAATGGCTTAATTTTATCATTAATAAGTTTGGAACATATTAATATATTTTTTTCAAAATAACTTAATATTTTTCCCATATCATAGAAAAATAGTGTATCATGATATCTGCATGTCTGCACCATTCTTTCAGATCCTCTAAAAATTGTTTTCTGTTATCAGGTCCTCCTGCTTGGTTGAAGAGCTACTGTAAAATCTATAGCATCTAGTACTTACACATCCCTTTACACCGAGTAGTTTTGTTTATTCCAAAATGTATTTAATTTTTATGTGCAAAATAGATATTGAGAACATACAATGTTTTCTTCTGTTTGGAGTAGAATATTAAACCACTTTAAATGCATGTAATATATAGTGGCACCTTTTTATGCAAAATCATCTTGAAGTGCTTTATAAATCTCCTCAAAGATTTTAAATCCCTTTCATAGAAAAGAGGATTTTTATTCTTCATATTTTTAAATTATGGATGAAGCCAAGGCACTGACTAAAAGTAGAATAAATACGCTACCACCTGAGTAATTTTTAGATGAAGTTATAGAAGTACGCTCTAAAGAATTCCAAGTGGAGTCAGGAGGAAAAAAACTAATATATATGTATATATAAAAATAAGTGGAAAAGATGTGGAAACACTTGACAGGTTCTTTGGATTTTGTTGTTTGTTTGGGGTTTTTTTAAACCTACATCACCACATAGCTAGTCTAAAAACTGGTTAGCTTTTCATTTCAAGACGAGATTAAATAAAATAACGAGAGGGTAATGGTTCCTTATACTGAAGGCAAGTCTTTTGAGAAAGAAATAAACATTCCATGTAGAAATATTTCTAAGCAATAAAAAAGGAGCTTTCTGCATAAATTTATTGTAGAGATTTTTATCTGGTGTAAACTAGCATAGACCTGCTGGAGATGTTATACCTTCAGTGATTTAAATTTATGTAGAATCTGCTCTACAGTATATAAAAGCCACTAGTGGAAAATCAAGATTTCACCAGTTTGAGAGCTGATGACTTACTATGTCTCATCTGGAATCACAGTGCTCAGTTGAACTTCAAATGGGTTTCAGCTGGAGATAATTGATGTAGGGTTGAATGTAAACAGCTAGAAATATAGGTCTAAAAATACATGATAGGAGAAGAGAAATAATTTTATGGCAGAATTGACTATCCTTAAGATAAGTCCACTGGTGAAATGGGCATCAATCTTAGTCTGTGGTGTACTTTTATTTGAAATATATGGAGTTAGGGTTTTTTTCTCCCATCTGTGGCCCTGTTGGTATGAGGAATTGACCTAGCTGGTTCTGATCCATGGGACTGTAGTGAAGTATGTTCCTTGGATAGGAGTTTTAATCTGTTAGTCAGATTGTTTCCTAAAAGCTTTTCCTTTAACAGAAGATAAAATTAAGTTAATGATTGTATATGTGTGTGTATGCACACACATATGCATGTGTGTATATGTATATATGTGTATTTATATATTTGAGACTATTCTTCATATGACCTGTTTTCAAGCAGTATTTTACAATCAAAAACTACACTGTGCTGCAATGAAGATATAATGTACATTGACTGTGAGTATGCTCTTCAGAAGAAAAAATTGACAGAAGTAGATCAACTTTTGTGGCATGTTTACTATTTCAGCCTAATTAAAAAAAAAAAGAAACAATGAACACACTAAATTCAGTAAGGCATTCAATCTGCTTCCTTTAAAACCTCAGGATTAAATTTCTTCCCAGACTCAACTATTGCATTTTGCTATCACCCCTTCTTTTTACTAGCACAAGCTGAATGTAGAATGTGGATTTTTCTCTACTAAAATCTTCAAGCACATTTCTTTTGAATAAAACATATTTTCAGCCACTGTATAACACCAACCTACTTCAGTTTATAGTTCATCATTGTAGATTCATTAACTATTTATGGTGAAAACATTCAGAAAAGGGGGAACTATGTCAAAGCATTTTTGTATGTATGTGACCTAGTATTTTTAAGCAAGAAGCCAAATTTGTTTCATATAGGGAAGTTTGCAATAGAAGTATTGTTTTTTTTGTTAGCATGTTTTCTATTCTGCAGCTGCCCTCAATGTGGATTAATACATTCATGTTAGTGGGAGCTGGATCAGCTGTAATGTTTGACATCAGAATTATAGGCTATATATGTTATTTCCCCTTCATTATGGAAACATTTCTCGTTTAAATTGCAAAACCACTTTTTTTTAAAAAAAAAACCCTAATATTTGGAAGAGGTATACATTTGTCCTGATTTTGGAATAAAGTGAAGAATACTAAAAAGGTGAAATATAAATGCCCTTGTAAGTTGTGCAAATGTAAGTGGTCATTTTTATGGTCAGGAAATATACGAATGTAAAAAATTTTCAGATACTGTATATATTTTCTGTAATATATGTATATTTGGTCATAAGGTGGGTGGAGAATTGTAAAAATTAAGCACTTTAATTCCTGTTGAGTACTTAAATGAAAAGAAATTTGTATCCTGTAAAATAAAAGCATCATTAAATAAGTTTTGCTGGTTTGACTATTCATCGACCTACTGTTTGCTTTGCTGATGTAATCTTTAAATTGTGTTTCCAGTTGTGTGTGTGACTCCAAGGACCTCTCTGGTATCTAATTTGCTGAAGTGCTGGCTACTCAGAAGTACTGCTAAGTCAGTCAAAGACATATTCTGAATATATCGAGAGCTGTATGTAATGCTATGAGATCTTAGATTGGGAAGATAAAAGATACGGTCTCAGCCATCAGTCCTTCACAGTTTAGATCCAGATTTCTGTAATGGGAATAATAATGTTTTCTCGTGTGACCAGGATGTTGTGAGAGTACATAATGGGCTTCTGCATTGCCACCCCCGTGGAAAAAAACATTAAGCAGCTGCTCAGGATAATCTCTATGCACTGAAGTAAAGTGGTACTGTGAAGCAAAAATGATCATGTAATTAGCTGGATCATGATCCCAAGCATAGGCAACTTTGATTCTCTAAATTAATTTGCTAGCTAAGCACACATTCAGTTTATGGAAGTACCACTTAAACTGCAGCTACTCCTTTTCTAAGTATCCTTTGAAAACCATTTGTAGTTGCCTCCAATTTCCATCATCTGTGCACAATTAACCTGTTTTGTATCTCATTTATCCTTCCTATTATTGTGCAGGTTGGCACAATTTGCAGAAAAAACTGTTAGTTCCTGTGTGGAACAAGAATTGTACAAGAATTTTGTCTAGCTTCTACTTTTTCTTCTCTTTGGAAACACAGTAAACAGGTTAGTATTTTAAACAAGTACTGATGAACCACAGAAAGTAATGCTTCCCCTCCATTTACATAATTTTTTCCAGTAATTTTTCTGATTATTTTTTCCCTGTGATTAACACTGTTCCAAAGCCATTGTTTTCCTCATTAAACACAATGCAATGCCTTCTACACAGAGACAAAATTAACAGAATTTATCCAAAAATACACTTTAATAAGAAAACACAATTATAAAACTCAAACTACAGGAAATCCATAATCACAGCTCCTACTTAATTCCTTTATAATAGCAGGTTTAATAAGCACTGCTATTTCTACTTGGCAGCAAATTGTCCAGGAGCCCATCAAGTACAGGGTTGGTAAGTAAGTAGTAGGCATCATCTCCTCTAGCTCTCCCTAGGAGCCTGACTAATACTGCCCCATCACCACAGAATTGTTCTTGGCATTGTATGAGCTTCCTGCCATGAGAGAATTGGCACTCCTACCTTTGGTAAGCACAATACTTTGAGCTTGTTTGCTTTAAAGAAATTGCTGTGGAGGGCCCTGTGGTGTCTCTAATGAACAAGTGGACATTATAATTATGACCATTTTGTCTTAGAGCTGTTCACCCTCTGTCTCCTTGGCCCTGTGCACTAGGCAGCTATGACAGTACTGAGCCTCATCAGACCTGACTTGTGGTAAATCAGGATGCACTCAGCTGAGTTTATTTGCTTGAGGTCTTACCCATGTCTGTCTCACTAGCTTCTGTTTCTGTCTCAAAAACATAATGCTTTGGTGTCATGAGCAGGTTGTGCTACCTTGCCCTCTATTTCAAACTGTTACACTTCTTTGTGTTACAGCATATTTTTCAAATTACTTTCCCTCACTGAAAGATTTAAAGTCTTAGGAAAAATCTATCACATACTCAGGTAAATTTTCCATTTGTTAGCTATACTCTCTGTAGTTGTTTTTTTCTTCCTTTTTTAAAAAAAAAACCCTTATCACTAGTCAGAACTCACATAGCCTCCAACCATCAGGATCTTAACAAGAGAATTGATTAAGAATTCCAACCACCCAATCTCAATACATTTTTGCTTGCTAAATGAAAGCAATATCTGCTCTCAGAAGCATCTCTTTAAGGAATAGAGCCTTATGTAAGAATCTAGGGTAAGACTTGGTGGGCTCCAGATGAATTTCTAGATCCCCAAACTTCTTCACATTAGTTTTACTGAGTATCAGCCTACTTAACCTGAAAATTCCAGAGGTTCCTAGATTTGGTTTATGCATTTGTAACATTAAAATAGTCCATGGTTCAAGAAACAGAAATTGTCTTGGGAGCAGAATCCAGGATTACCCTCTCTCTTTGGCCTCTTGTAGCCTCATGTACTCTTCTGCCCCTTCCTACTCCTGCCTTGGAGCCAGGTAGTTGCAGGACTCTTGCATGGGGGACACGTGGAAATGAATTCTCTCTTGGGTCTGCTGGACGCTGAACTTGGATCTCTGAATTTGTGAGCTTGTGTTCTAAAGTAAAGCTGGATACTCATGCTCTTTTGAACATATTTTAACATAGTATGACCAACTCATTTTCCAAACTCTAGGTGAGAGTTCCTGATTCAGGGAAATGGATTTTGGACTCTGCTACTGAATAGAGGAGCCTTCCCACAGTGTGAAATTAAATGAAGACTGCGATAGAAGAAAATAAGATTTCAACCCAATTTTGTTTAGACCTATTGCCTAGCTATGTAAAACTTTGCCTGCTCTGCCTTACTTGCAGAACATACTGCCTATTTTCAGAACTTACTTGCATACTTGGCTTGCAAAAGGGAATCCAAATCTTTTAGCTTAAGGCTTTAGGATACAGCATTTACAAAAGACCTACCTTGCCTATGTTGTATTTTGGAACTGGATTTCAGGTTAGCACTAAGCTGGTCCTATTAACTAAATGCTCTTCAGTGGCTGGAGTGTATCTTGCAGCTTGTTTCATGTGAACAGGCTTGCATCCATGTGCTCCAAGGCAACTCTGCGATGCTAAGCAAACACAGTGGGCAAGACATCAAGCATCCACTCCAGAATTGCAACCCTGACCTCCACTAAAAAGCTTGATGGATACACCTGAAGTATCCACTAGTTTTATATGCAGGCTGTGATGCTGTAAATCACATATGCTCAATTGTTATATTTCCAATTTAAACTTAAAGTTGTGCCAGTCATAATATAAAAAGCAGCATGCACAAGCAATCATGTATAGCGAAAATAAAAAACGCCCCTCTTGACATACTATTTTACCTTAAAAATACCACAGGAGATAGCCTTATTTAAAATACTAGGTCCAAACATAGAAGATATAAGCTCAGTTCCTCCCGAATACCAGTAAGTTCTGGTTGGGGTAAGGTTTGGTGGGAGTAAGGTTTTTTCCTTTACCTTTCTAGTTACATTGCCTCAGGTGAATGCTAACTAAATGTGCATTTTGTTTTCCAGTAAAAAGTTACTTTCTTGATAGCAAACAAGAGGTTATTGCCTTTATTCCCAAAATCTTGGTCCTTTAAAGTAAAAAGTCTTCACCTTAAAACTGGACTGCAAGCTACTGGAGGGGTAAAAATCGTTTACTGAAGCAACTATTGTGTTTGTTATTCCAAGAAGCCTGACCACTCCAGTTGTGGCAGGGAGGTACAGCAGTTCAGAACGATACATAGGCTATTTTAATCTCAAGCCAAAGCTTTTAGCTCTGTTGGCCTTGTCAGAAATGCTGATGCCTTACGAACACCTGAGTGCTCCAGCTTTGTTAATGACTAATGAACTTTGCTGTGTTTGCCCTGTGGCTCTCACCCTCTGCACCCTGACTTTTCCTTAACTTGAAATCTGCTTTCAGTTCTGCAAGCATGTTTTATGAGAAGCTGTATGACACCCCAGATGTTCAATAAATTTTGATAAATAACTTCACCGTGCATATAGTGAGAGAATATAAGGAACTCTCAGATTGTCCAGCAAAATTGTATCCCTGCCCCAGGATTACTTTCTTTTGTCAGAGACTGGGTCTCAGAACAGCTAACATGGGGATTCCTATCAGCACTGTGACCTTCTTACAGCCACCTGAAGCATGCAGGAGAGCTCGCTTTGCCAAGTCAGCAGAATCCCTGGACTATGGATTTAAAACCTCAGATTTGTTTCTTCTGGAAAAAAAGAGCAAGGTTTAGAATCCATCAGCTCGGGAAATCTGTGTAGAACATCCAAACGAAGGGTCATTATGTCAAGGGATTTTAATAATTTATTTATTTCATCTTCTAACGGTGTTTGCTGTACTGATGGCTAGTATTAAGTGCTATGAGAAAGCATTCTGTGATAAGGTTACTTTAGAGAAAACAAAAACACAATTCAATTTGGCTTCACATAAAAATGGGGCTCTGCCAGGCCCATATAATTGCTGTATTGCATCGTTCCAAAAGGTGACATTACCAAGGAATAGTTAACAGAAGTATTTTGCTAATAGCATTTGTGCAGTACAAAGTAGTATCACTGTATGCAGAGGAAATGCCGTGTTACATACTTGATATATTTACGAATGATTTATTTCTCTAGACAAATACGATGGCAAGGAAATATGCTTTACGGAGTGCTAGTTTGTGGTCTCTTTGTCTAACATTAATTAAATGGCAAATGACTTGTCCACTACTGTCAGTATGTTAATATAGACAGACTCTAGCTGCCTGATCAAAAATGGAAGCAAATGATGATGCAAAACTATAAATAAATTCATATCATGGAGAAGAAAGACTGGAAATTTTGTTCTCCTCACTTCAAACATAAAACCAAGGAGGCTTATAATGAAATTAGAAGATGACAAATTTAAAACTGACATCAAATTGATTTTTTGCACAATGCATAATTAGATCATGAAATTTACTGTCACAGGATGTCACTGGAGCCAAGAATTTAGCGTGATGGGACAAAAACCCTATTATATAGTAAATAAAGCAATTTAGTTTCCAGT